AATCAGCGTTGTGGCGATTGCTGTCCATACCTGTTGAGTATTGAGAGATGAGATGGATCGAGTGGTTGTTGATGAAGCGGGTAACCCAGCTCTCGCTGACTGGCTCTGTGGCTATTGACGACGCAAAATTTGCTATCATTTCCCTTGTAGGAGGTAGACGGCGAGCTGTAAGCTCCTCTATATACTTGACAAGCTCGTCCTCCTGTTGTGGAGTGAGCTTTTGTTGTGCAATCGCCTTCTCTTCATGCGATCGCGTCTTGTGTCGATATTTTCGAGACAGGGTTGAGCGCACAACCTTATGTTTTTTAGCCAGCGCTGTCCACGGGATCTTATCGCATGGTATCATAGAGTCTATCTCTTCAAAGGCAGATTTCATAGTCATTGTGGCGTTGAGTAATTGTACAGTGAAGTATGGGTACAAAAAGGTGGTTCGGCGCATTACGCGAATCCGCGCATTACGCGCACGGACACGGTACCAATGGAACAGCGAGACTTGTTGCACACATCAACAGAAGGTACTGCAGCTTGACTGCGTGCCGTCTGTCACTGTTTTATTGGCACAGTCTCTGGGTGTTCCCATGATATGAATCTGCCCGTTGGTAGACGATAGGATGAACAACAGTCATTAGGGCTATGTCAGCGTGGGAAGCGTCCCAGCAAGGGAGGTGCCATTGCCGCTTGGCCGAGCGGGGAAGTGCTTTGGAGGCCTAAGTCTGAACAATGAACTTGTGGACGGAAGGGGTACGCGTAAGTACTTGTTCGGTAGAGCGCGCGACTCGATCCGTTGAGGTGAAGGAATCAAAACATGTGACGTCATCACAAACGCTAGCAATCGCATCGCGATTCCTTCTCAATCGTTTACAGCCTCAATCTTCCTCATCATCTCTGTGACTTGGCGAACATCCCAAGAGCCAAAACTACTTGGCCATGATATTCCCGTAAACTGGATGACAATGTCCGCTACGGGCCGTGCTTACGGGGGACCTCCTCGATTGTGCATAATGCTGACAGCCCTATGATATGGTACTTATAAGCTGCCATGTTCAACACTATTCTAGGCATTTTCTTTCGTACTTCTCCTTCGATCTGATCTAGCCTTCGTCTGCCATGTCGGTCACCCAACCCATCGTTCTCCTAATCTCTGGTGGCTGGCACACGCCCCAAAGCTACACTAAGCTCACCGAAGCTCTATCATCATCTAGTTTCGAGGTCCACGTTCCTGCTCTAGGATCAACAAGCGATACACGCCCACCAAGCGCCGACCTGGAAAGCGATACAGCCCTGATTCGCGCGTATGTAGAAGATCTCGTCAACAGTGGTCTCGAAATTCTAGTCTTGATGCACTCCTACGGCGGTCAAGTGGGCACTAATGCGCTCTCCGGGCTCAGCGTGTCTGCACGGTTCAAAGAAGGTCTCCTAGGTGGGGTGTCACATCTCATCTACATGGCCGCGACGGCGATCACCGAGGGCAAGAGCATGGTTGATACTGTACGCGACTTTGGGCATGAGGATCTTCTGCCTTTGGCTTTTGACTTTGCGGATGACAAGTCATGCGTACACCGTGACCCAAAGCTGCTACTCATTGGCGCTGACGATGCGGTCTCCGAAGAAGAGAAGGACGAGTACGTAGCTACGCTGGGACGATGGAATGGCAATTGCATGTATCAGCCACTCACGACTGCGCATGCGGCGTGGCGTGATGGTCCAGTGACGTACATCCATACAACTGGAGATATGACAGTACCGCTGGATTATCAGAAAGTCTTTGTGAACGGCATGGAAGAGGCGGACGTTAAGGTACAGCGCGTGTCGGTCAATACGGGACACTGTCCCAACTTAACGAGACCGAAAGAGATTGCCGCAATCCTAAGGAAGATTGCAGATGGAGAAGCGGTGGGTGATCAGGGCGAGGCTCAGACGGCGCATCGTGCTAGTACAGGAGAGGTCGAAGGTGTGATCCAAAGTGTTGGCACTGCAAAGACCTGAGTTAGACTCACATGCATTGTTAAGGAGCAAAGTATGATGCATTCAATAGCGACTCGTGACTACCATACCGCTGACCCATTCTGATGCGCAGGCGTCACATTCGTTCGGACACCCATCTTGCTGTCCCAGCCATTTCCATAGCCTCCTGGAGGCGCATACCCATACCCATTCATGATGCCCAGATGCTGCACAGACTTGCTTGCCATATCGCCACCTCTGTTGGTCGCCGCAGGTAGGCTGTTCATGGGAAAGTCGCTGGCTACTGGGCTCTGATGTGGGCCTGGCGGTGCTGCAGTTTGTTACTCTACTTTGGTGGTATTATGACTTGCAAAAGATCCTGACCCCCCTGTTTTTCTGGTTACTACATACACTAGGTGGGGTTTTCGAGAGTAAGAGATGACCGGGGGCACCGGAGGGGTATATATATGGGTGCTAGACCCTGACCCATACCTTCACCACCACTCACAGCCTCTAATCTCGCCAAACCTACCATCATACATAGCACCATTGCTACCACCTCTACCATATTGCTGTCTCCACTACACATTTCCTGCTCTTTCCTATCACAACACTGGAATTCAAGCACACCATGCCTCCAACTATCAGATCCAGCAAGCTATTGCGATCACATTAATACTAATATCAGCCCTAAGAACAACAATATTGTGCAGGGACTGATTGTACTCGGAAAAACCGGGGGGTCAGTATCTTTCGCAACGCACCGATATTGTCCTGGCTGAGCTTGACACCATTATACCACAACTCGAAAGACAAATCCGCAGGTCCAAGGTTCACTTTGATTACGAAATTAATTCGATGGTACTTCTTGCCGCTGTTCCACCAATGCCGGTTCTTGAACTTGAACAGTGTGAATGGGACGGTGGCAAAGTCAGACTCGACCTTGCATATTGAACGAGCTGCATTTTGTTAGCGCAGGTCAGACCAAAGATGGCACGAAAGACGCACAAGAACTAAAAATGTACAGCAGCAATTATGCGTCAGCCTCAGAGCAGATGACATCTGTGGGAAATATGCGCGGTGGGTTGGGAACGGCAGATGTCGCTGGCGGACATTTGCGACTGAAGTCTCGGACGACGGGAAGCTGTTGCAGTAAATGCAATCAATGAATGTGTAACCGTGCAAGGCAGTAAGTCAGGTGGGAAGCGCGCAAAGCAGTAAAATCAGTATATTGTGTTGTTCTTGTTCAGTGTTGTATGATTGCCTCTCACCCAGCAGTCCTGTTTACATGACGTATGTCTCGTGCAGTCAAGAGCAGGAGATGCTTGTTGAAACAGGCAAGAGCACTGCACCAACACACATGACACCTGTACTCCATAAACCGTCACAGAAAGTCACTTGATACTGGCCCGCCCTGTTGTTGTCAGCTATGTCTCACACACGGTCGTCGTCCTTACCCTTTTGACGGACCAATCGACACAGTGTACAACATACGTCTTGCCATCAAGTATATCAGTCTCGACTTGCAGACCGATGTGATGTATGTTATTCGGGTTGTATAGCATCTTACACTTCGTGCCGTAAGAAGCACGGCACCAACGCCAGCCGAGAACCGATTGGCCAGTCTTCAGCTTCACGATACGGTCAGCGACGTTCCTTTGCAGACGACGAGCTGCGGGTCTGGTGCTACACGGATTTGTATACTCCGAGAATTACTGTGTGATGTGTTACCGAAGGCATATCTGATAATTGTTTGACGGAGTATCATATCGGACCGTTTATACTCAACCTTACTGTGCTGATCTAATTGTACTGCGACAGTTATTCTTATGGCAGGTGAGGTACGACAGGCAGTAGTACCCTAAACCGTGACACTATCTCTTCTTCAGCCTAGAACAGCCCTTACGATCGTTGTGTTCCCGTACAACGTGGAAGTACAAAGCGCCGAGATCGTAACACCGTTAGCATCGGTAGACGCAAACGTACAATTTCAATTGACACAAGTGCTATACAAAGTAGAGCTCCATCGCTGCATCTGTCAACATTGGCGACCATGGCTCCGCGCAAAACTCGAAGTTCGCGAAGGAAGAAGCATCTGACCATGAGCAGCAAGAAATGGAAAGGGTTCAAGACCAAACTGCTCATGAAGACTTGAAGGAAGAAACTCTTAAAAAAACCCTGGAAGATGAACAAGCAGTTGGCGAAAAGCATAAGATAATCTCTCCTCCTGATACAGCCAACAAAGCCCCCAAGGCTGCGAATCAGATCAAGCCACAAAGACACATGATCAGGAAGGAACCACCACCAGTGTATCGCCCGAGCAAATCCTGAAGTTCCTTCTCTCCGACGCAGCTCTCGAAGTATGCAGGCCAGAAGACGAGCTCGAAGACGTCTCGAAGCGCGGCAAAGACATCACCACCTACGTGCAACTCCTGAGCCCTTTCGAAGAGCTCCTATGCGCCGTCGCTCTATCGCGACCAATCTCGCATCGTCTGGGCTTGCGCACAATCTACACAATCTTCAATCCACCCTACGAGTTCAAGGACGCAGACACAATCAAAGCCGCAAGCGCCGAGAAAATTCATCAAGCCCTTGATGATGCGCGAATGCAGCACAAAGGCAAGACGACAGAGGAGATTGAGCTCGTTGCCGAGGTTGTAGCAAATAGCGATTCGCACAATGACCTCGAGAAGATTCGCCAGCAGTCAAAGGGCGCAGTTGAGGAGGTGCTTCGGTCCAGCATCAAAGGTCTTGGAAAGACGGGACTCGACATCTTCTACCGCCGGATTCAGTGGCTTTGGGACGAGACATTTGCGTTAGTTGATGCGAGGACGCAGGATTCGCTCGAGAAGTTGGGCTTGCCAAAGAAGCCTAAGGAGATTGTTGAGTTGATCGAGGGGCTGTCACGCTACAAAACGGATTCCCTGCAGCGGCTACTAACGTTGACTGTCGATCAGAAAGCTTATGATATCTGTAGTAGTTTAAAGCGATTTCGATCTACTTGCATGTTATGATCTTGCTTTATCAGAGTATCAAAGAGAGCCGTCTTCCAGAACTGCCCTGAGATATTCTCGGACGATGAAAAAACACTCATTCTGTATTCAGCATTTCTGGTGACGTAAGAGACTAGTTTATGATCGTCTTATCATTGGGTTTGATGCACATCCTCAACAATATAGAGACGCTGATATTCTTCTCCCTCTCATCCTTCGCAGCTCTCTCCATTACAAGACGTTCCAAGGTATACCAATGAGGATTTAGGTATGGCAACGTACACTGGTACTTGTGTCCTCAAGCCATCCTGTCCTTGATTCTGTTGTAAACTGACGCAGGGTTCTCAACGAAGAAATTCCAGTCTTCCTGAGTTGGTGGAGGTGACAATGGACCATTAACTTGAGTGACAATGTTCCAATTGCTGTCTAGTAAAATAACAGACATCTTCGGTTTAGTATATGGTGGAGCTCAGTCCAGAAGGTCGGTCAGGTAGATGAACAAGCGCTGTCGTAAACGGAGGAGCAAGATCGTTATCCTTGAGACTGGCTCTGTTCCCTCTGGCATCGTCTCCTCGTGACGAAAAGCTAGTTGAGTGTTTGAGTTGTTTATGTCTCGATCATCGAGGAGTCGTTCGAGTGGTCGTGGATCCACATGCACCCCCTGGCTGGGATGACTTCTGACGCGGAGTTCAAGAGTAGCTCTTCCATCCTTGAACGCTGTCCACGCGCTGCTTCGAACGATACGGTCGGCCTCGTTGTTACCAAAACGGAAATTCGTAACTCCGCACTCGGATATATCGTAGAGATATTCGGTGACTCGGTTGGGACAGTAGAGTGCAGAGAGCGTGAGGTGTGAGTGTCGTTTGTGGGTTCGTTTGAAGACTTCGTACCTGGACTCAAACTAGAAAAAAGAAAACCCCTGCACATGTGATAGAGGCTCAATTCAATGTTGCATACAGTTTGAGTGTCAATGTCGACAGTACAATTTTGTCGTACGGTAGACCACATCACGCCCGGATCTGGAGCTGGATATTTGAAGACAGCTGTAACAGCTTGCAGGTAGCTCCACAAGAACAAGTAAATTTGGGAATCCATAGTACAATTTTACCAATTTTGGAAAGGGTAAAGGTTTGGGGAGCATTTTCGCCCCAGGGACTGACTCCTCCAAACCGCGCAGTGCCGCCGAGAGCTTCCCAGGGAAACTCCATCGAGTTCAGCTTACGATAATAATTGTGGTATCGACCGATTGGCAGCGTATCTTGTTCTCCAAGAGTGTGAAGGAGGTTATTGAAAATTGCGACCTGGTCCACCGGACACCCTTCATCTTCTTCTTGTAACGGAGGCAAGTGCGGCCAGAGGTTTGATAAATCTCGCTGGCCATGATGGTTGTCATCTTCGACGTATAATCCAGAGTGAACAAATTTGATGTTGTAGGGCGTCGTCTTCCACTTGATGTTCAACAACGGAAGGAGATCAATGGATAGTGAATAGTCGTAATCGCCCTTAACAGACTGGATCCCAGCACAGACAACATCCATATCGTTCTGAATTCACGAAGAAACATGAAATTCCGACTAATCTTGGACAGCTATAATGGGACGTACGCCTCGTGGTTGTGAAGAAGCAAAGATCCACCACGTTTGAACAGGAACTCGTACATCAGCTCGCAAAGCACTGCAGGAAAGTCCAAGATTGATTGTAAGCCGGGGTCAATGGGACCGGAAAGGGGTTTGGAATATCTATGTTGCTGGGTACGCCGGCGTGAACGCTTTCCCAAAGGCTCCGGTTCCGGAAGACGCAGAAGGGTGTGAAGACGCGATCACAAGACGACTTTCTCCGTATGTGCTTTGTGTGCACATCTTGAATGTAAGCGATTGGCATCTCCAAATGTTGAGGACGAGAAAGGATAGGTGACACAAAGTGTGGTGGCAGGATTGCAGGATTGCGTTAGCGCAACCAGACCCACTTTTACCACGCCTCAATCTGGCTGCTCTCTTCTGCGTTCTCTCGCGACGACGACATAAAATGACTTGAACCTAAATTTTGAGTATAGTAGCATACTACAATCACTCCGCTGCTTTGCAATATGTCTTCAGCATCATACTCAAGCCGTGCGCTGTAGAAACCCCTGCATCCACACTAGGCAACCACAAATGCACCTCAGACCCACCAAACAACAACACAGACATGACTGTCGCATAGTCCAACGTAGAAGGAGATCGTAATTCTCGCATCACTCTGGTGTTGGGAACACCGTGTATGAAGCGAGTGTCAGGCAGCAGCATTTCGACTTGGGATATACAACCCAAAATGCGGAATTGAGAACATGCACACAATCTTTCATCACTCTCCAGTCTGCAATAGAAATTCGGAGTATTCATTATGTCTCCCCTCAAGCTAATCATCTCCCTCTTCATCGTCCTCGGCCTCCTCCAAGCGGCGGTCCTAGCCTTACCATTCATATACTGGCGCTTCTCAGCATATTTGGGCCCCATCAGCAAGTTCATATTCGGCTCCTTTCTGTAGGTCTCATTCCTTTCTTCACAGAAAGCGCTCGAGTAGCCGACAACAACGTTATAACACCATCGCATGTTACTTCGCACGCAAGCATTCACTAAAAAACAAACCTCAGCCTCTTCATCGCCTTCATAATCCACCCACTAATCCTTATCACCCTCATCACGTTCACAATCGCGCCTACCCTGCTATCCTTCCGACACAATATCACTTCCCGGCTTGGCACTATCTACGCCGCTCTTATGCCCCAGACCCTCCCTACCATACCCTCCCTCGACCAGGGCTTACCCACGACCAACAAAGAATGGCTCATGACCCTACTCAGCGGGTACGCTGGCTGGAAATTCCTCGGCACGCTGCCGAGTCTGACGATACTGTTAGTCGTCTTTGCTTTGTTGTTGGGAAGAGAGGATGTCGACGAAAACAGCGGGTGGCTTGCTAATAAGGGGTTGAGAGGGGAGAAAGTTGTGAGGGTTGAGGAAAAGGGGATGGACGTGAGGAGTAAGAGGATGTGCAGGTCGTTGGCTGAGATTGTTGTTGGTGATCAAAACGCACTTGATGGGCGACCTCGTGGGTGAGTATGTGTGGAGCAGCAGGAGGGAGAATGTGATAAAATACAAGCGGTGGTATGGGTACGCGAGTTTTGGTGAGCGTTAATCGGTCTTTAAGATTGAACAAAGGAAATTGATTGAGTATCTACGATCGTCTCTCCTCACTATTGACATCCCCCATCTCCACCTCCTCCTCAATCGTCGGCAATATCTGATATCTCCCGCTCCTTCCCGCCCTCTTCAAGCACTTGCTCGTATGCAATAAATGGCCCCTCTTCTGCCTCACAAAACCTGCAAAACACGCTGCGCTCAGCGCTACAGCGCCCGCACTGATGTACACAGGGTATTTGAAGTCCTCTGGTCTGTAAAATATCATTGTCGTCGCGAAGCTGAGCAGCTCGAAGAAATTCTGCAACGACATCTCGATCGCAGAGAAAGAGCCGCGTGTTGCTTCGGGCGCGTCTTCTTGCACTAGGTACTGCACGCACAGATCAAAACCCCAGAGGCCCAGGCGCGACAGTGCGACGCCGGCGACGAGCGCGAGTCCGGCGAGTTTAAGGTGGGTTTGTGAGGTTGTCGCAGCGAAGAAGCTGATTGCGAGCATGATGGAGACGAGCTGCTCATTGATAAACCACAGACCAGAGCGCACAGCGCCGATCTTGTTCATGAGAAGGGGCGCCGCGCATGTCGCCGAGAGCTCGAGAATGACGGCGACAAGTCGCATGATGGAGACGTGGGTGCTGGTGAAGCCGAGAGTGAGGAGGTAGGTTGTCATCTGGGAGGCAAAGCTCAAGACTGTAAGGTACAGTAATGACAGTGAGAAGGAAGCGAGAAAGGCGGGGTTTTGGAAGTAGTCTTTCCATGGGCAAATGTTGTCTTTGATGGTATTCAGGGTGGATCGCGACGGGGCGGTGGATGTGCCACCCGGTGATCGTGGTGTTTCAGTAGCGTTTCCTTGCTCTTTCCCTTGCCCAAGCTCAGGGATTGCAGAGTAGACTTGCGCAATGGCAAAGTACTCAATAAGCACGCTGATGGCGTTCTGTCCGAAGACGACCCAGATAGCGGTCCTCGTGGAATATCCATCGAGAAGACCAATGCCAAGAGGTGCGATCAACTTGCACACCAGGTCGATCCTGCGCATCGCGCTATTCAACTCCTGTCTCTCGACACCTAAACTATCAGAAACCACAATGATCCAATCTCTTTCAACGGCCACTGCGTTGGCGACAAAGGCCAGCTTCTCCACACCTGCTAGCGCGACAATCAAGGCAAAGAGCCCGTAGAGGACCAGACCATTTTCAGGGTTGCCGGCCAGCAGCATAACCAGAATAAGGCATGACAGAGCGACAGATACTCTCTGCCATACAATGCTTTGGCGCACTACATAGAGGCGGTTCTGGCTGTCGACTAAGCTGCCGATCCAGGATCCAAGGGCAGCAGCAGCGGCGGATCTGAACAGCGCATAACAAGATGCGAAGAATAGCGTTCTAGGGAAGATTGCAGCCAGGAAGATGACTGCACCGAATTCGAACGTTCGCGCATTCCAGGTCGAGAGAGTGTGTGATATGTACAAGCGGTAGAGGAGTGCTTTTGAAGATTTGTTCTGGGCTTGTCGTTCGGCAGGGTACTGGCTGGAGTCTGGCGGCGGGGTGCTCGTCGACGCACTCGACGCAGAACTCATGTTGTGCACAGTTGTAGTTGTGAACGGTCAAATGCCATGAGGGGCAGAGAAGGCGCAGGAGAATTCATATCGAGAGCTGTGACCTGGTGATCATGCGCTCTGGCCTACGGACATCTGGGCAGGCCGAATCGCCATGTGCCTGTGCTGGACCCTTCTGATCTACACCTGCCTAGGCGAGTTAAGGCTAGACTTGAGCGTAGTCCTTTCACTTTCGACGTCGCGCTGAAGGTCTCCCCACCTTGGATCCTGGTCACCCCACAGTCTTGTGCGTTGTTCGGCCCCGGTCCATCTCGGGTGTGTTGTTTGACGTGCTGGTGCCAGAAACGTCCCGTGGTTGAGGCAAACCCCAAGAGGCATTGATGGACGCTAGTTTACACCACTAAATCCAGGGTTCTTTAGCCTAAGAGCACCTCAAGTAGCAGCGCGCAGGCTCGATGTGCCTGCACACAGACGACGTGTCAATTGAAGGCCTCACCTTCACCCCTCCTTCCTTCTTTGCCATTGACTGCTTGAGCACGGCAAACACGGCAAATATGAAGCTTAGCTAATGCTAGATCTCTGAGCGTTCGTCCGTAATGCCACGACGCATCACCACCTCTAGCTCGCCGTGAGCTTCAAGACGACAGTCACGAATGCCACGTCCAATAAAAGGTATAAGGCGAGGTGTGTTTTGAACAAGCCTCTACCTGCGTTGATGTCATTGACAATCTCCAGGATGGCTCTTACTGCCACTTGGCAGGCGCCCCCGCCGGTTCCAGCCCTCTCTGCTTCCACAGCTACCATCGACCACCGAACGACCGAGTGAGCACTCTCAGAAAAACGAAGATGACAGTCATGACAAGCAAGAACGAAGCAAGTTCGCTCGTAGCGTTCTGGAAGGCAGCACAGTAGCTCTTATTTCGCTACTGGGCCTGGGTCTCGGGGGCTATGCATATAGCATTCTCTACAAAAGAACTGTCAGGAGCAAGATCGAGAATGCCTTCTCGGCAGGCTACAGCTCGCAAGAGCGCGTCGCATTGGGCCGCATCGCCTATGGCACCGAGCCAGAAAAGATACAGGAGATCGTAGAGAAAGAATTCTGGGTGCCAAGAGACGAGCAGGAGCAAGTCAATGACATTGTGAGCGGCAAGACCCGCGGCAAATACTATCTCATTATCGGCGAGAGGGGCACGGGAAAGCGTGCCCTACTACTGGAAGCCATGCGCAAGGTCAACGGAGATGGTATAGCTATGTTAGAAGCACACAGCGAGTTGGAGGTCTTCCGGACACGACTCGGCAAAGCGATCGACTACGAGTTCCACGAGGACTACATTGGAGGCTTGTTTAGCATCAGAGGACCACGAGACAGCACCCCTCTGCTTGACATCGAGCGAGCCCTGAACCAGCTGGAGAAGGTCGCTTTGTCGATGAGGAAGCGGCGTGGCAAGCCTCTTCTAATAGTGATCAACAACATCCACCTTTGCAAAGATGACGACCAAGGTCGCGACCTGATGGAGATACTGCAGCAGCGAGCAGAGATTTGGTCAAGCAACGAGCTGGTCACAGTCGTCTTCACATCGGACGAGCATTGGACGTTGGAGCGGCTGATACCGCACGCCACCAACATGCATGTCATAAACATTCGTGACATCCGGAAAGATGTGGTAACGGACGCTCTGAGAAAGTACCGCGCCAAATATCACAACGAGCACGTACCACAGAGCATTCTGGACGAAGTTTTCGCCAAAGTTGGCGGTCGGCTTATCTTCCTGAACCAGGTGGCTAAGTCAAACCACATGCTTCAGATCTGCGCGAATATCAACAGGCGTGAGAAGTCGTGGTTCCTTAATCAGTGCTGGATCCTCGGCGACTCGATGGACGACGACGTCGAAGAGCAGCAGAAGTTCTGCGCCGCAGCTATCGTTCTAGCTCGAGCACTCGTCATTCGCGAAAAGGAAAACGCAGATCCAAACGGCGTGCTCCCTGAGATTCCTCTTCACGAAGCCCGCCAGATCATCACACGCGCCGACTTTGTGAAGCCCTTCGACCACATCAATGTCATCCACATTGATGCGTGGGGCATGGTGCGCGCAGACTCGGTGCCCATGCAGAACGCTTTCCGCGAGATTTGCAACGAGGAGGGCTTTGAAGAGCACCTGAAGGCCACGTTGAACAGGCTGGACGAACTGGAGAGTTTGGCGAGAACAAGGGAGGTGAGCTGGAGAGCGGCACCGGACAGGAGTGGTGGCATTGTGCCAGTGCAGACGTATTGCGCAAAGATCTCAGACCCACGAGCTGGAGGTCACGAATCAGTGGTATCAAGCACGCCAGTACATTAGTGCGCCACATCAATCCAATAGCTAGGAACACTACAGCATCGTCCGTGCAATCGGTTCCGGCCTTCGTTGATATTACTGTCTCCTCTTCACTGTTTCTGCTGTGCTTTTTTCTCTTATTGGGTGTCCTTTCCTCGGCTATCAACTCGTACCAAGTCATTCGCGTCTCCTTTGCCCCTCAGCTGTTCAAGTTTTCCAGCGCAACTGAACTTGTCTGATCTCTTTGTTGATGCTTAAGCTCCGCCACAATCGATGCAATGCCAACTTGGATCCTCACCAAGGTGCATACCCCCACGAATGACCCACGTGGCCACGTTACGAGGTCGATGTAATGAGCAATACGGACCGAAATCAAGACGACTGGACGATGGTGTCATTGGACGCTTACTTGAGATGTGTAGAACCTAGACGTGAGGACCGGAGTCCATTCGGAACCGCTTTGAACTGCCGCAAGCCAAGAACTCCGCTAGGAAAACAAGTGGCTCGGCCTCAACAGGTGGTATTCAGGCTACGTATTGTGATTAGACTGTTCGTATTGTTCCGGACCACCCATTGATCTGGGGAAGCCGCGCGGCCAGCATTGGAGCCCTACCTCACAGTTCCCAAGCCCGCTATACCAGCCAAAGCAGGTTTATTGGATGGAGTTAGCAGGACTCTGAAGGGGATGAGAATCCAGGAAGATCCAACTACTGGAACCAAAAGCAGCACGACGTCTGCCGATGCAAACGCAGTGGGTAAGTCTACTTCATGGATTCTATTCTCACCATAAACGGTAGCCTGATAGCAGTCAGCAAACTCTCTCACTCTTTCGAAGAAACCTCCTTTGGCGCAAGCCTCCGGTCATATAACAGCTCTCTGTTCGACTATGGGCTGTACGGACGTCGCAAGAGATGTGAGGTACCTAGTGCATCCCAATCCGGCAGACCTCTGCCATTGTCAGCTCCCAAGCAATGACAGCAAAGACAAATAAAGCACGTCTACCACACAAACGGCGATTTGAGATAGCATCATCGATCTGCCGGGGCGTACTGCTCCTGGCGGACATTGACTGGCTTAGCGAGGACCAAAGTCCAATTGATGACAGAAATCTGTAAGCCGCACACAAGGGATGGCTTAGAAGACGCGTATGTATCGTGTTGATTTGAGGAGCCACATTTGGATGTAACGCCCTCACTACCTGCCACAACCACAAGACGGAGCTTCATACGCAATCGCACACTGTTCGCCTTGGGGATAATGCTGATGGAACTATGTGTAGATAGAGCATTTCTGGCTCAGGAACCAACTACAAGAAGATCCTTCATTTGCAACTTCGGTAACGACGGTAGTGGAGGATATAGACGAATGTCTCGAGGAAGTGTACGACGAAGCTGGTGACGAGTACGGTTACGCCGTCTAATGATGCCTTCGGTGCGAGTTCCCCGGACCAGACCGTCCAGAAGAACTTCCAACATCTCCCTTTTCGAACGCATTTCCTCCGCGGCGTTGTAGCTCCTGTACAGGCAACGTACGAAATGATTTCCAACCCAACGGTGACGGTAGGCTTATAAATTGCGCGATGTGCACCCAAGGTGTACCAATAGAGCGAGCAAGTTAGTAGTGCAAGGCCGAGAGTACTTCTAAGCTAATATGTATCTGTCGTGGTCTTATGTATGAATACTGGAGATGCGTCGATGTTGGTCAGGGTCTATATGGGCTAGTCCTAGTCGGTAGTTAGCGCTCATGTTATCGATACCAAAATTTCCAGAGCTTCAACTTTCTCAACCTCCACGCCTCACACAAACAACAGATACGCGCCTCACATCTTACCCAACATGTCGTCCATGCGCAATGCCGTCCAACGGCGCAATCACAAAGAGCGCGCGCAACCCGAAGAGCGCCAGAAATGGGGCCTCCTCGAAAAGCGCAAGGTGCGATATCTCTAGCACAACAAAACGAAGGCAATATACTCACGATGTTCAGGATTACAAACTCCGTGCTGCCGACCACCGCCAAAAGAAAGCCAAACTCAAGATTCTTTCCGAGAAAGCGCGCGACCGCAACCCCGATGAATTCTCCTTCAAGATGATGTCGTCCTCCGTGGACTCGAAAGGGCGAAAAGTAACGGACCGCGGCAACGAGGCGCTTAGCATGGATGTCGTAAAGTTGCTCAAGACACAGGACTCTGCGTACATTAGGACGATGCTGCAGCAGGTGCGCAGGGAGAGACAGAAGTTTGAGGAAAGGTTGATTCTGGAGGAGCAGGGGGAAGTTAGGGCGCTGAAGGATGACGAGGATGGGAGACAGGGGAAACACAGGGTGTTTGTGGAGAATAAGGAAGAGCAGGAGGAGTTCGATGCTGATGCATGGTTTGGAGAGGGTAAATCAATGCCTACAGCGTCCCAACCCAGATTTCCTCTCGAATGGGAGGGTGATGAGGAGGAGGATGATGATGAGGAGGAAGAGCAGCGGCCGCAGAAGAAGACGCTGTCAGCGAAGAAGCTGAAGGAGCAAGAGGAGGCGGCTAAGAAGATGAAGAAGTTCGAGAAGACACGGTCACGCGCACAGTCAAGAACAGCGTTCAGACTGCAGATGGTCAAGAAGAAGGAGCGCGAACTCGTAGCCGCAGAGGAAGAGCTGGAGAAGCAGCGCGCGAAGATGAACAGCAGTGTCGGCGGCGTGAACAAGAACGGCGTCAAATTCAAGATCAGGGAGCGCAAGCGCTGAGCCCCTCATCACCATGAAACTATCAACATAGAAGAGAACAATGATACCCCTACAGCCTCGCCGGCATCCTCATCGCCCCATCCAACCTCAACACTGTCCCATTCAACATCTCGTTCCCCACCGCCTCCACCACCAGCCTGGCAAACTCCTCCGGCAGCCCCGCGCGCTTGGGAAACTCCATACTACTCTCAAGGCTCTTCTTGACCTTTGCGCTTATCATCTTCGTCATCGCACTGTCGAACATACTCGGCGCAATCGTCACAGCGCGGATCCCGTACTTGCTCAGGTCTCTAGCAAGCGGGAGCGTCAAGCTCGCCACCGCGCCCTTGGACGCAGCGTACGCGACTTGGCCCATTTGCCCGTCGAAGGCGGCAGAGGAAGCGATCATGATTATGACACCACGCTCGCCGTCTGCGCCAGAGGGGGTGTTTTGCGTCATGTGTGGGAGAGCTTGGCGGATGAGGTCGAGGGTGCCGCGCAGATTAATGTTGAGCACGAAGTCTATGCTTTCGATGCTCAGCGGTTCATTTTTCTTGTCGATTATCAGGCCTGGCAGACCGACGCCGGCACCTGCTATGACGCCGCCGATGGGCGCGTTGGACTCTTTGGTCCAGGATATGGTTCCGGCGATTGCGGAAGCGATGGCTTCGGTCGAAGTGACATCGGTCTCGAAGAACTTTGACCGCGAGCCCAGCTCAGAGACGATCTTAGAGCCGTTGTCACTGTTCAGGTCGAGGAGAGAGACGTAGGCGCCGAGGGCATGCAGGGCGCGGGCAGTGGCGAGGCCAAGGCCAGACACGCCGCCGCTTATAATGAATGTGCGGCCTTCGACCTTCATGGTGGTAGGACTGTATGTTGGTTGTAAGATCTTGCTTATGTCTGTGGTGAGGGATTGGATCTTCAGGGTTGTAATGCCGCAGAAAATACACAATCGAGCCCAAGGGACTTCGTTCACTGCAGTGTGATTCCAAACTCCAAGATGTTCAAGCGGGGAGTGTGTAGGATGTGTGATGTAAGGAAGAAAGCGAGATCGAGGCATGTGTAAAGCCCCGTCCTCCAGCAGCCTCGGCTCACCATGCATCGGCGGCCATGCCTCCAAACCTCCGACAACCAGCCTGATCCCTGTCGCTCTGCCCATCAATCTCGAACCACACCACCGAGTTCCGCAGCATCGCGCAGCATCACCGCCGCCAACAATCGCATCGCGGCCGCACACCGTGCCCCCCCCCCCCCCTCCCCACACTGGCTCTCCGCCTGCTCTCTGCCTTACACCTCACTACTCTGCAACAGCCTCCGGGCAATTGGAATTATGAACACACCAGGCGCCTCGATGCCGCCCGCGGCAGGCCCAGGGAACGCAGACAACTACATTATTGGGAAGAACACACGGCCAGCGAATCCGACACCACTATCTGCGCCGCAGGAGCAGCAGGTTAGGGATCTGTACTACAAGAACGTGCGCGCGAAATGCGCGCCAGAAATCGAAGGTGCGTAATCACACTTCTACCCAGTGCCACCATTCACTATTCGACCACTCCTGGCTACACATGAACCATCTCCTCGCACGACCCATACTCACTTATCCCTTCACAGCCTTTGCACAATGCGCCCTCGGCCGCACCCTAACCATGATCTACGCCTGTCGCCAGCCCCGGCTCGCCATGAACGCCTGCATGTTGCAATACCAGAACCAGGACGAGCTCGATGCGGCGCGGAGTAAGTGGTTTGAGCTCGCCGAGGAACGAAAGAAGGCGCGCTTGGAGCATAAGAGGCAGCTCGCGGATGCAAAGGACAAGCACAAGGAGTGGTGGAATCTGGATGATTCGGGACGTTTGCAGGGGAAGAAGCTGGAGGAGGGCGGCGAGGGGGTTAGGCGGAGGGAGGAGAATAAGGTAGATTCGAGCGGTGTGAGGAGGGGCGGTGTGTGGGGTGGGACATGAGGAGACCGGTTTTTTCGAGGGGGAGCAGAGGAAGGATGCTTCTGCGGAGCCTCAGGCCGCGGCGGGCTCCTCGTACCGAGCAGCTAGGACCAATCGACGCTATCGTGATGAGGGATGAGACAAAGCTTTGCCAGTGTGCATGGCTTGTTGGCGCGGGAGCGTGGGCGTACGCTGGCTCTGACGTGGCGCGATTGCATTGAAGGCGTTCTGGAACCACGCAAGACATTTGCATACATGTATAGATACTGGAAGATGACACTTGTACGATACACGGAAAAGCCAGCGCGAGAGCGCGCGCAATCCCATCCCTGGCCACATTTCGCAGTGCGTGGTGAGCAGCTTCGGGTCTGGACAAAGACTTTCTTGCCTGAGGAGCGGTACACTGTTCCACCGGCCATCGTGCTCGGCAATCCCGTTCGCCATGGGTTCGCGACGGACCGGACGCAAGTAACAAACGTGCAATCACCGTGCGCACCAACCCAACCCCTCGATACCACGTATCAGACCAAGTGCCCGAGTCCATAGACATGCTGGAACAGCCAGGACCTCTCCGCCTCGGATCCTCCGAATATTCGACTGGTCCGGCTGCCCGAGTGCAAGGTAAGGATGACTTTTTGCATTACGGGCTTTGTGCGAGTGGTGTGGTTGTTTGCACACCTCCAGCTCTGATGTGGTTGTAATTTTGACTCGATTGGTATCCTTCCATCCATCCAGCCTTGCTCCAAAACGCCATGCAATGCTTCGACTGTTTGATACGCCAGTGATACGCCAGTTCTGCGCAACCTGGTGGGTTCGCTCTGATCGTCCACTGTCCGGTTGGAGGGTTTCTTTTCTTTCAACCCATGACCTCCTGGAACTCATCCTCGTCAACCTCCTCCTCCTCCTCCTCCTCCTCCTCCTCATCCATTCCCCCCATCTCCGTGTCCGCCGCCCCCGTAGCGCCAAACCCATCCCCTCCAACCGGGCCCCCCTCTTTAACCCCGTCCATCTCCTCGTCGCTCTCCTCCACCTCCTCCGTCTCCCACGCCTCCTTGACCCCCCACCCCACGCCGGTGAAACAATACCTCTCCGGCGGCAACCTAACCCCAAACTCCCTTTCCACGCGCGGCAGCGCAACGCGGTTCCTCTCACTCGCGATTTCAGCCAGGAACTCCTTCCCTAAGCCACCGCCGACACCGCCCATCATGGCCGCGCGCCCGGCAACGCTCGTGCGCAGGGCGTTGAGGGAGATGCCTTCCTCAGCCGTGGGATCGCGCTTCTTCTTCTCGGACTGCGGGAGGGAAGAGGGCACGGGGGGCTCGTAGGCGAGTGCGTCGGTCAGCACGCCCGAGGTGTATCTGTACGCGAAATCCAACAGCTGTAAGGGGACGCGCTCGGTGTAGGCGCTTACGCCCATGTTTGCGAGGAGCAGGTGGATGAGGCGCGCATCCCGGGGTCTCTTGGAGCTCCCGTTGTCGAGGAGGGATGTGGAGGGATAGGCGGTGGAGGCGGAGGTTGCGGTTGTGGTTGGTTGCGCGGCGGACTGGGGTTGCGATTGTGATTGGGATGCGGATGGGGAGTTTGTGTGTGCTGCGGGGGCTGTGGCGGGCGGTGTAGATACCCCGTTTGTGTCTGGAGCTGGCGATGCCATGGTTTGGTGTGTCTGGGTAGTTGTTTGTGCGTTGATGGGGGGGGGGTGTACATGCGAGGTCGCGATGCGATGCGATGCGCCAGGCGCGTTGTCGCGCGGGCTTGGCGTTGCGGCTCTGTGTGGGGCTGAAATCTGGGGTGAAAGAGCGCCACGAACGGGCGAGTGCGATCGAAGTGGACATGAAGAAGGAGAAGAAGAAGAAGAAGAAGAAGAAGAAGAAGAAGAAGAAGAAGAAGAAGAAGAAGAAGAAGAAGAAGAAGAGAGAAGAGCCATGTACAAGTGAACAGTGGTTTGATTCAAGGTGAACGCTTTTTCGTGCCAAGTGAAAATGATTATTAGACCGTCCTATGCCTTCACACCCAGACCTTCCGCAGCACCGTCATCGTGCAAGTGATCCTCATCCCCAGTTGCTTCGCTAGCGATGCTCTCATGTAGACTTGGCGTCTTGTCCTTTCTCCCCATGCGCTTGATCGAGCCCCAGCTGAGCGAGCTACTCTTGTCTTTGGGCGTACCGATGCTGGGAGAGTTGTGGTTGCTGATGCTCTCGGTGCTCTTTCTCAGGCCAAAGAAGCCGCTCGAATCCTCCTCTGCTTCGTCTGGGGTGCTGGGCATGTCGCCTTTCTTAGCAAACAGTGGGTTCTTCTTGCCGAAGGAGAGGAACTGGCTAGTGCTGCCTTTGCGGGTGAACTTCTGCATGAAGGACTCTTTGCCAATAGAACCAGTCTGGTCAGAGGTCGCTTGGGAGATGCTGCGCTCGAGCGATTCACGAGGCGAGGCTTCAGAAGCGTCAGCGGTGGAGATGATGGACGGCGTGTCGCGCGATGGGCGTGAAAAGATCTCGTGTGGAGAGGTGGGATGGCTGCCGTCCGCGGATGCTTCGAAAGCAAGCTGCCTCTCCTTGTCCTTGCCTTTGGACTTTTCCGCTTTCTCGGCCTTTGTCTTCTCCTTCTTTTCGGCTTTCTCCGCTTTCTTAGCTTCCTTCTCAGCCGCCTTCTCTGCCGCCTTCTCTGCCGCTCGCTTCGCCTTCTCGGCCTTGTCTTCCTCTGACTTCTTACCCAGAGAGAACATGGTGAAGGTGGCTGCGGCAGGGTTCAGCCCAGTAGGCGGTGTACCTGGGATCGGCGGAAAGTCTCGTGGAGGCATGTGCGATGCAGAAGACTGAGGCCGAGTGCCGATCGGTGCTTGCATAGGCGAACGAAGGTTGGAAGGAAAATCTAGTATGTCGTCATGCATCGAGTCGTCGTTGATAGACAAGTTCGTAGTCGAGCCATGCTGTATCGAGGGTCGACGTGATGGCATCCTCGACCACGAGGAAGTGTTGGTGTTGTTGACGCTCCAGTCTACTCCAAGTGGGCTGCTTCTAGCACCGAACGCATCTACACCCCAACCGAACCTTGTCTGGCTTTCAGTAGAGGGACGAGGCAGAGCCATGCCTTCGCCGGACTTGGTTGAGCCTTGGCGTGGGGACGACGGCCTCTCCATTCCTAGTACAGATGTCAGCCAAGGATCGTTCTTCGCGCCAAACATGTTGAAGGTACGCTTGCGCGTAGCCACATGCTTTGGACTGCTGGACGATTCTACAGGCTGAGTCTTTGTTCGCATGAACGAGTCGTACCAAGCACCCTCAGTACTGCCGCGACGTCGCGAGGTGCCCGCGGGATCGAAACCAAACTCTTGTCGAGGAAGAGATTGGCTTTGGGAAGGCTTCAGAGAACCGAGTGCAGGTCCCTGGCCGGAGATTGTCTTACCACGCTGCCTGTTGAGTCCGAACAATCCGCCAAATCTGCTCTGAGAGTTGACGAAAGAGCTAGAAGAGGACTGAATCGAACGTCTGTCGGGGTCGATGTTCTCAGGGTTCGGGAAGAACTGGAGTTGACCGCTTTCTCGTGGGCTTGCGAAGACACTGGGAGACCGGCTCTCTGGTGGCGAGACGGGCGTATTGGGAGCCTTGGGCGGGTCGACGTGTCCGAGCGCTCCGAGGCCAGGGAGGACGTTGCGCATGTTCGGTGACGGTTCGAGAGAGGACAAGCGAGGCGGGCCGATGAGGTCGTCATCTTCATTGTCTGTGAGGCCCAGATCATCGCCGAAAAGACCAGCGGGGAGCAGAGCACCAGCAGTGGGGCTCATAGGCGCACCGCCAGTCAAGGACTCAAGGTCGGCCTGAGAGGTTTGCGAGATGGACGGGGTGTGTCCGTGTCCACGGGGAGGCAGCGCCATGCCGTTGACTGGGTTAAAGTATGGAGTTACAGAAGCGAATGGCGGGGATGAGGTGACCGTCATGCTGTTGAAGGGGGCGGACGAGGTCTGCACGAAGCCACCAGGCGGTCCGTTGAGCAGTCCCTCACGCATGCTCAGAGGGCGCTGGCGCTGGCTGTTCCTCCTGACCGGGCCGACTCGCGGTACGCTTGGATCGTCGTAGAGCTGCGGCTGGCTCATGCGGCGCTGTTGCAGGTACTGCAGTCTGCTCGAGACTTCCTGGTTCGCCCTATCGGCTTCGGTGAAGAGCTGCCACGCCTGGGCGTACTGCTGCTGCAAGAGACCCAGCGTCATCTTCCAGCGGTTGTCCTCCTCGCGCTCAGCGTTGTCGGTGCCATCTGGAGCTTCTCCGCCTTCCTGGCCGTCTTCGAGCTCCTTCCTCTCCTCTTCGAGCGCCTTGATCTGGATTCCCTTCTCGCGGATAGCATCTTCCAGGACCTTGTTAGCCTGAATCTCCTCCTCGTACTTGTCCTTGACCTGCTGGATGCGCTTTTGCGAGGCCTGCCTGTACTCTTCCTGCTCCTTCTTGATGTTCTCCGCAGTCGCACGGAGCTCGACAGATTCGCGTGTCCACTTGGCGACGTCGTCCTTCATCTTCTTCCTCTCGGCCTCTTTCTGACGAAAGACCCTCTCTTGCTGCGTTCGCCGCGTCTGCGCGGCGGCGCTTTGCCGTTCCAGCGTGGCCACTTCTTTGCGCAAGTCGCGACTGGCGTCTTCCTTCTCTTTCAGCGCAGCCTTCTTCTCGTCGCGCCTGTCGATCAAGACGACCCTCTGGGTGACGAAATCCTGGTCTTCATCCTGGATCTGCCTCTCCATGTCATCAAGCTCGCGTCGGAGGGCGTCCAGTTTCTCCGTCAGGGCGCGGATAGAGTCGTTGGGATCTGCTGCTGCTGCTGCTGCTGCTTCCCGCGCATCGTCTGCAGACTGCGAGGCGAGTGAGGCGCTGCGGCCAGCGTCTGCGCGCCTGGCTCGTGCAGTGCTGTTGCTGTGCTCGCGCGCCATGAGCGGGGCGACGAAGGGCGTGGCGACATCGGCGAGGCTCTTGTTGGGGCGGATGGTAGGCGCAGGCCTGGATTCGTCGTCGTTTGCGGGGCCATGGGTGCTGGGCGGTGACGAGGAGTAGTACTGGTCCGAGGCGGCGAGGAGGGTGCGCAGACGGATGGGGACGCTGGGGGCCTGGAAGTTGGACGAGTTGAAGGTGACGACGCGGATGGTGTAGTGGTGGTCGGGCTGCAGGTTCTCGATGGTGACCGACGTCTCGTGGGACGCGACCTCTCCGACGTCTATGCCGTTGATGCGGATCACGTACTTGAGCACGGAGGCGCGCTCGGGGGACTTCCAGTGCAGCAGCACACCGTCTGCTTTGATGCCCGCGAGCGAGACCAGGGGCGCCACGGGGACTTCGAGGCCGAGCACCTGCACCAGCTTCTCGACGGGCTGCGAGAGGACCTGGTAGGCGCGGAAGGCGACCCTAGCGACAGTCAGTATGCTGTAGGGAAGTCATGCATCCATCGCATCGCCGAAACCGCCATAACCGCCATACCAGAACAGCGCGAGGACGATGCAGGCGGTGCGCAGCCAGCCGGAGGACGAGAACAGCAGCGTCTCCATGTCATAGCGAGCGACGTCCGGCGGCCAGTACAGGGACGCGGCCGGGTCGGAGAACATGGCGGGGGTGCTCTACGCAGGGTCGGGTGTGTCGTGTGGGCGGCAGTGAGGCTCGTCGGCGAAGATGCACATGGCCGGCCGGGGGCTAAGGCAGCCTTCTCCAAGCCCAAACAAAGCTTGGCCATGCCAGTGCAGGGTTCTCTCTCCACACCCGCCAGCGCTGGACCGAGCGAGCGGGGCGGCGCTCGATAGATTGTTTGCACGACGGGGGGGGGGTTTTTTTTTTTTTTTTTGGAGAAGGCCAGACGTGTGTCTAGATTGCCGACAGCCTCCTCCAAGCAAGGCGAGCCCGGGGGAGGGAGGGGGCCCCCAAAGGCACGCATCGCTATCCGTGTGTCCTGTCATCCCACGCGCGCAGAGCCGCGGTTGAGCTCAACGCATCTCTTTCTGCACAGCTATCGGCCAATTGCTGCTGCCCTCGGTGCCCGTGCAGCATGTGAGAGCCAGAGCCAGAGCCACAGCATGTTGCAAACAAATCCTCCCCTCGTCTTCGCAGCCCGTGGCCATCCCCCCGTGTGCTGAACACCGTCCGTCTGCTGAACATCCTCCGTCTGCTGAGACGCTGAGGCAGTTGTTGCAAGACACCGCTTTGCTCCGGCACAGACACTCCCACCTGACCTCCACTCGCCTCCCGCGGTCGTCGACTAGGCACTCCACCGGTAGCTGACCTCGCTCCGTCAGTCCGCCATCCTCTCATATACTCTCACACTCTCCCAGCCGCCCACGCTCCTTCCCCCAGCAGCCCCAGCAGCCCCAGCAACGCCGACGTAGCCGTGGAACGCATCGCCCGCGCATCGCCCGCGCAGACCCGCGCCTTGCATGTGAACAAGAGCACAGGGCTGTCAGCGCACCACCACTATCGTTACCAGCGCTACCAGCGCTGCCAGCGTCCCGGCAGAGCGCGCCGTCCACCATGAACTACCTGCGCTCCGTCGCCGGCGGCGTCTCCAAAGGCTGGAACTCGATCAACCCCGCGACGCTCAGCGGCGCCATCGACACCATCGTCGTCGAGCGCGAAGATGGCACCCTGGCCTGCTCGCCCTTCCACGTCCGCTTCGGGAAATACCAAATCCTGCGGCCTTCAGACAAGAAGGTCGAGTTCCGAGTCAATGGCGAGCTGCAGGATTACTCCATGAAGCTCGGCGAGGGCGGCGAGGCCTTCTTCGTCTTCGAGACGTCAGCCGTCGTTCCCGCCGGCATGCAGACGTCGCCGCTCGCCTCGCCTGTCGCCAGTCCCGAGCAGAAGCCCACCGAGACGCCGCCCAACCAGATGCTCGACGACCCCGAGCCCCTCGATCTCGCGAGCGTCGACAGCACGCTGAGGCGGAGAGGCCGCATGTCCATGTCTGTCCCGCCCTCGGACCCGCAGTACCGCGAAGCAGACTTTGCGCGGCCCATGTCGGGAGACTGGTCCGGCTTCCATGTGCAGCGGTCCAACACCGACTCGGTGGTCCCCTCCGCACAGGAGGAATTCCCCGCACAGGAGGAATTCCCCACCCAGCTCGACGGAGGGAAACAACACGGGCCGCTCGAGATCAGCAAAGAGGACGCTACAAGGTGGAACCGCTCAGCGCGGTCGGCCAGTCCGCCCCCAGTCTCTCAAGCCGAGGCTCTGGCCCGAGCGATCAAGCTCTCGAAGAAGCTGTACTCGTCCAACATCCCGAACAAGGTCACGGACAACGGAGATCTCGAGCTCGACATGACCGGCTACAAGAGCAGCGAGCAGGACGCTCTCAGGGCAGAGGTCATCGCGAGGAGCATCTTGTCAGACGAGCTCGCCGGCGACTACGACATTGGCGCACTGATCGGCGCAGACGAGAATGGCAACCTCTGGATCTACAGCAGCGAAGAAGCCAAGGCAGCAGCCATGCAAAAGACCGCCCAGAGCGTCTTCCACGAAGCCTCCCTCGACGCCGTCTCCGATCCAGGCTACCAAAGCGACAGTGGTGCTAGCGATACCACAGCAGCCGACCTCCCTCCTCACAGGCGCAACGACGCCGACAGCGCCCTCGGTCTCTCAGCCCCCCACTCTCCCGAACAACAACAACAGCAACAACAACAACAACAACAACAACAACAACAAAAGAAGACCGAAACTCGCAACTACGCCAAGACGCTGCGTCTGACCTCCGACCAGCTAAAAGCCCTGAACCTCAAGCCAGGCCAAAACACCATGTCCTTCACCGTAAACCGTTCGAGATGCGAAGCCTACATGTTCTACTGGCAACACGACGTACCCATCGTCATCTCTGACATTGACGGCACCATCACCAAGTCTGACGCCCTGGGTCACGTGCTGAACATGATCGGCCGCGACTGGACACACAAGGGCGTGGCGAAGTTGTATACCGATATCGTGAACAACGGGTACAACATCTTCTACCTCACCTCCCGTTCTGTGGGACAAGCAGACCTGACGCGCACCTACCTCAACGGTGTGGTGCAAGAGGATTACAGACTGCCTAAGGGGCCGGTCATCATGAGTCCAGATCGCACGATAGCCGCGCTCAGACGAGAAGTTTATCTTCGCAAGCCCGAGGTCTTCAAGATGGCGTGCCTACGCGACATCATGCAGCTCTTCGACAAGCCCGCCGGCCAAACGCCCTTCTACGCCGGCTTCGGAAACCGCTTCACCGACGCGCTCTCCTACCGCAGCGTCAACATCCCCAGCACGCGCATCTTCACCATCAACTCCAACGCCGAAGTCAGCCTCGATGTCCTCTCCCTCAACAGCTACAGAACCGGGTACGCGTCCATGCGCGAAATCGTCGACCACTTCTTCCCGCCCGTCGGCCTGCTCGTCCCCGCCGGCGGAGAGAACTTCACAGACTTCAACTACTGGCGCGACAAGCCCCTTGACATCGAGGACTTTACGGACAGCGAGGACGAAAGCGATGACGCTGAAGGGACGGAAGCGGGAAGTTACCGCAGTGAAGACGACGGCGAGATCGGCGAGATCGGCGAGGATCTTGAAGCGAGCTACATGACCAACGAAAGCGTTGATGAAAATGGCATGCGTATGGAGGACTCGATCCTCGAAAGCGTGGAGGGGAATGACGGCGAGTACTTGGGCGAAGATATCGATGCGCCGTACGAACAGCAGGGTCTTGACAAGGAGGAGAGCGATGAAGAGTACAGCGAAGAAGAAACGGAGATCGAGGAGGCTGTTGAAAGACGGGATTTCTGCAGACCACGGACCCCGACGGAAGACCAGAGCCTGAGGAAGAAGCAGAGCGTTCCGGGCATCAGCGAGAGGATGGCTGAGCGCGCGGCGGAGCGTATGAGCTCTCTTAACGTAAAGGACGAAGTCCCGACACCGAGGGGCAGCCCGGGGAGGTAGTTCAGCCTTGGACTGGCCAGCACCGAGGCGGGGGAGTCGGCTCAGGCACCTGCAGCTCAGACCTCTTCAACAGGAAACACGCCAGCTCAGACGCCTGTACAGCCGCGACGCCATCGGCGATGGTTCAGCTACGCCTCTGGCGCAGGCGCGTCTTACAACGTCGAGGAAGTCAAGGGGCCGGTGCATCGGAGCTGGTTCGGGTTTTGAGGGGCCTGCAGAGGGGCAGTCTTCACTGGCGGTCGTGTGGTCAAGCGTACAGAGTGGCAGTATCGTTGTTGTTGTTGTTGTTGTTGTTAATCGACTTGCATAGCATGGCATGGTACGGCGTTCTAGACTTCCCATTCTTAATCATCGCATTTGTAGCATAGCATAGGGCAGAGCCGTCAATGCATATCCGTTATCTATATCCGAGATATTCTTTCCCTTTCCCTGCAAGACCGTTGCACACTACTCGCTCTCACGCTCTTTTTTCAATTCTTTCACTCATCTTCTCGGGAATCCTCATCCGATGTCGGTCCAGAGCGTATCTGTTATCTACCCTACTAAGCATCCAGCATGGAGGCTTCATCGTGTGTACGTTCGAAGCGCGTGCTTGATCTGCATCACACCAAACCCGCAGTTCCCCGGAGGCTCAGAGCGCCCGCCCACACCCCACTATTGTTTTGCCAAGTCTGAGTGAGATCAAGCGGGCTGAGCTTACAAAGTAAGGCGAGAAGACGTGAGGAGACGGAATGGGATCCCGCTGTGCGGAGTGTGCAGTTCCGGGTATGCGTCGCGGAGGGAAGATCGAGGAGTGAGGAGACTAGGCGAGGGGATGACGGGCAGTCGGTGTTGGTGCTGGTGTGTCGATGCGTCTTCTCGGCCGGTGCAGTCGTCTCTGATTTCGAACCCGTGCTTTAGACTACCTGAACCGGAGCCTCCAACAGCGCAATCAGCGTCGATCGATCATGCAGTGAACCTTTCGCCCCTTGCTGAGTTCCAGCTTCTTCGGTTGAGTGCGAGGCATTGAAGTCCGTTGGATGAGATGTGCTCAACACTGATGAGTGGATTTGTGAGCGGCAATCAGAGCTGATGTAGAGTCGCACAAGCAGTCTAGTTCAGTCCCACGTGATTTTGAAGCTGTACAAAGGTATTTGTTTGATTCGATGAAAACGCGCGTGTTGTACGGTCGCAGAGGGCTCGTGCCCTATCTGTTCATCACGCGACTGTGTGGAACGTAGTGTAGGGTCTAAAGCTGGGCTTAAGAGGTTTGTTTTGGACAACAGTGGCTGCGGCTCCTGGGAAGTTCTGTCCTATCTGTGGCTTCTTGAAGAACACGGAGAGAGCAGAACGGTTGGCATGACAAGAGCGATACGGAAACGGGGTTGAAAAATGTGGGTCGATTTTGCTGTGAAGTAGTGTTGTGTTCTCTCAGTGGATAGGGAAGCCAGTGTTGATCCAGCAACGACACCCTCACGAACAGTAGTCATTATCATTGTTGTTACCCCAAGTCCAAAGTTGGGATACAGTTATCAGAGCTCTGGTTAGCTAGATACGGATTCTAGAGACACTTTGATCATTGTGCGGTATTATGGTGGAGCTGAAGTCAACTGCTCATCCGAACGAATCGGTCCTGTTTGAACGAGATGCGTCTTCCGTATGATGTGCTTTGGTCAGTATACACATCGCGCTTGGTGTCAGTTGTTACTTTGGTCCGCAGTCCATGAGAGGTGAGGTCGAATCTAGATTTGCGACAAAGTTCAATCGCTGTTTGAGTTTGAGAAGGCTTGGGTCCTGACGTCTGTAAAAGGAATTGTACGCGAGAAGGTTTGGCTGACAGCTCGGCGCGGCTAATACCAGATATCAAGCGTGTATTACCATGGTACTGTCAGGTTGAAGGCACGCGTAGGTTGCGGATGTCCTCCGGTGTCCTGGTATGGGCATTAACAGAATGCTGTTATGCTGGTGTTAGTGTCAGTCGCCCGTCTGTACCAAGCTGGAGCACAGCAGCCCTGGTGTTTCATGCGTTCGGCGAGTTCTGGCCGATGTGATGTTGCGCTTGCGGAAGATCTGAGAGCAGTGGAGAGGCGGGAATCGTGAGAAGGTGGAGCTGTTAGAAGATAGGTCAACGGCATGGACACCTGCCGGAAAGTCGACCAACGGCGATACATCGATCACCAACATGATGATCCAGTACTGCCTCACTTCGTAGGCATAACGTGGGTCAGTAAGGCATCTCCACTTAGGCGTTTCCGTGGCGATCATGAGGCTGATCTGGGGATACCGCAGGCCGGATCTGAGGCTCGTAGCGTAGGGCCAACTGCCGAAGGTACAGGCATGATTTGCGCTACAAGCGGTAGGTCGGTGATAATGCAGCCTATAAGTTGTAGACTATAGCGTTTCGAATTGTTGGTGTTGAGGTGGAGTGCGGAGTGCGGTTGGTGGCCGTGCAACGCTGACGCGAACCAGTGTCCCGTGAACGTCGGGCTATGCCGCCTCTTCAGGCATCAAGCTAGAAGCTTGCGACAGCGAAATTAATACCAGCGGCGTAGGACAGTGATGGCATTCACCGCTGCGCCGGTACTGTAGACCGCCTCGAGTGAACGTGGTGAGGTTGATGTTGCTGGTGTTGAGATGGCGAGAGATCAACAGCGCAGGTGCAGAAGCCTGCATCGATGGTCCGCGCGTCGCGTTGCACATCCACGCATGAGCTTACCGTTGCGCAAGAACCATCGTGATTATCGTGAGTTCGACATGTTGTTTGAATCGAGTGACGAAGTGGGGACAAGACTAGCCGCTAGCTAGCGTCGATCTGCCGGCCAAATATGGAGTCAGACTTTGGAAAGGCTTTCACGCACGGCATCGTTCACTACACGGCATAATTCGCAGTGTACTCGGAGGATTCCGCGCGCATTATTCTCAGCAGCCACAAGGACCCCCAGCAGCTCTAGGTGCATGACATATGTGCATCTGAAACACCCTTTGCTCGTTGCCCATCACGTTCACAGCCTTAGTCCCGGACGGAATCTCGAACTCAAAACCACGCTTGCGTAGACTGGTCGATGGGGCTGACAGTTGAACGTCTCTTTCTTATACCTGCTTACTCGCTGTGCAGACGATGCTCCGTTCTATGAGGTAGACCACGAGACGTTGCGAAATGGCCAATTCGAAGTAAGCGCCCGTTTTCCCGCGTTGATGGGTGGGGTGCCGAGCTGCACCAGCTTGCACGAGCTGAAGAACGAGCGCGAACTAACGAGCCTCAGATACGAGTATGTACGCTCTTTCGAGCAGCCGGACATCTTGCTGTCAAACACTTGGATAGTGGTGCGGATCGATGGACGTGGGTTCTCGAAGTATGTCGCTCTTTCCTTTTTTTAAAGTCGTTAGTCAATTTGCTTTTTCGTCCAGCGCAGGTACCCGTCACACGTAGAATTCTCCGAGAGCTTAAGTTCAGGATCAACGTCAACGACAAGATTACTGACGTTCATTCAGACTAACGACGAAGTATAAGTTCGTCAAGCCGAATGATCGAGATGCGCTAGATCTCATGAACGAGGCCGCTGAGGCCGTGATGAGGGAGTTGCCAGATCTCGTGATTGCATATGGCAACAGCGATGAATACAGGTATGTTATCATATCACAAGACTCAATCGTGATGTTGGCCGCTGACCATAGAATAGCTTCGTCTTTCACAAGGACTGCATGCTGTTCGAGCGGAGAGCAAGGTACATTCCACACAGATCTTGCAAGTGATTCGTCAGGTCCCTAGCTAACGCTCTAGCAGCAAGCTCACTACAACAATTGTGTCTACTTTCACGTCGTACTACGTGTTTCTGTGGTCGAAGTATTTCCCACAAAAGCCATTGACACCACCTCTGCCATCATTCGATGGGCGGGCAGTATGCTACCCGAGTGACTCGAACCTGAGAGACTACATGAGCTGGCGCCAAGTTGATTGTTCGTATCGGAGCTACGGTGTTCACTACTTCGGCTAATCGGTTGTAGGTCATATCAACAACCTTTACAACACAACCTTCTGGACTCTTGTGCAGCAAGGTAGTATGGGACCTCAACAAGCCGAGCAACGACTGTCAGGCACTGTCTCAGCGGATAAGAACGAGATCCTTTTTAAGGAGTTCGGCATCAACTACAACAATGAGCCTGAGTGCTTCAAGAAAGGCACGATACTTTATCGAGATGTATGTCGAGCATGAAGCTTTCTCATTTGGTCTCATATGCTGACACAACAGTTCTTCCCGGTAAATGTTCCGCAGTCGAATCCAACAACAGCCACAAACGCTACCGAAGATCCCATTTTCGCTCAGCCTCGACCAACGCGAACGCACTCAAAACCTCTGTCGCAAGCAAATGACCTGACAGTCCCAAGACTGCAGGAATCTCCGGTCTTATCCATCTTTTCAGCGCCCCCAGGACCGACTTTTCTCTCCACAGCTTCGACGCCATCGCCACCTCCATCGCCACCCAACCTGCCAGAAGACGGCTACCCAAACCCACTTCGATCTAACCCCGTCAGCCCTCGCAACAACATCTATCCGCAAAACTCCTTACCACTTTCGCCGCCCTCTACTGTCACATCACCAACGGGCAAGCAAAATTTCTCGTCGCTGACGCCTTTGCCGTTGTCACCACTGATCCTGAAGCCCAGCACAAAGCCGCCCATGTCTCTCGATGCACCAAATCCAACAACGCGTGCAAACTTCTCGCCTGCGGCTCCCCCAGCAGGGTTTGCCGGCTCATTCGCCGAGTGCAACAGATCACAGGGGACGGCGAAGCCTAACTCGCATTCGGCATCAGCATTGATGTCTGTTCCAGGGCCTTCGCAACCCAAACTCAAGCATCGCTCACCCAGCCTCTCGCAAATTCAAACGTACCTAACATCTAGTAGTCAACCGTCGATACCACTACGGATGTCCAGCATCCCGGCCAACACGAAGCCACGCAAGCTGTCGTTGCAACACCTGCGATCCACCTCAAACCTCAGGACTAGCAACGGGGAAGAGACAGAGAATCTTGCGGGTCCTGCGCAAGGAACGATAACACCTTCCAGGGCCAGTCCGCCACTGAACTGTAACAAAGAGCTGCCAAGCCCTCCTATGGGTGAGAGAAGAGTGGTCAGTGACCCTGACAAGAGGAAAGGCAGAAATGGGTGGCAACACGATGACCATCCTGGCATTGCTGAATTGCCAGCCACTTCCGCGCGTCACTCTCGCCAACAGTCACAACCTGTGCCATCATCGAGCGAGTGGGGCTCTCATGCGCAACTATACAACAAGCTGCAAAGTTCTGTACCTAGCTCGCGATCAGCAGTCGAGACGGATGGTCAGCCCATTCCACCATCGAAGGATGCTTCACGCTCAAGACGACATGCGCCTACGAAACCTGAAGCTAAACCTGAAGCGGGCAAATTCAAAGACATGTCGAAGCCGGCGTCGACGGAGAAGTCTCGCGCTCCTACAGCGGGCAAGGAAGCCAGCGACGGGAGGTCTGCACAGATGAGTCGGACTCAGAAAGACAAAGACAGAAAGAAGCGAAGCAAGGCGAGGATCATCAAAGAACATACAGATCTCATCAAGGATGACTTCTGGGAGAAGAGACCGTGGATTTTGAGTGGCAAAACAGGATAAACGAATGCCCAGCCAGATAATCACAATGATATGAGTATTCTGCATCACGAAAAGGTCCCTGGGACGCATGCAAACGTTCTTGTTTGTCTCTCGGACACTAGAACGCAGTGGAATCTTGCATCCGCACCAGCCTCGGCAGCTTGCCAGGGAAAATTACGGCTGAAGTCAAGTGTGATTGACTCCATTAAGAGATCCATCTGCCCGATTAGATGAGCATGTATGGATTAAGGTGGTACGACCACCCCCGAGAGTGGGGATTGTGCGTTTCGAATTTATATTGCGGGGCAAGAGCACTTGTTGCATGGCTGAATTCGAATTGCGCTCGACAGGACCAGATATGTGTAGGCGTTCATAATGTCGTGACTCAAGGATACGTCTGGGGGGTTGTCAAGAGCATTCATGATTAAGGCGGAGCAAGCGTTTGTGCTCGTTTCTTGAAATGGAGAACAGCTGCAATGTCTAACTGCCTAGTGAGAGATCCATACACATCTAGGGAAGGAGCGTTTTGGCAGTCCACATGTGGTGCAATCATACCCTCCAAAGGATAAATTCGGCATGCGGTATCAACTTGCGGACAGCACAGATCATGCACGTTACGATAGATAGGAAGCTTGGGTAGAAGCGAGTACCAGACATCCTGTTCCTAAGGTAGAGAGGGATTTCAGGTTGCTTGGAGCGCAGTCACGACTGATCGTACCTTCGTTGAAACCGAGCGGGAATACACGGGGTTTGCCCTAGAGACGAAGCCTAGAGATTACGTGCTAATATTGCCCGGAGGCAAAGTTCCCTACCTCATGCGTAAGCTGATCGGCGAGCCCACCGATGATAAACCAAAGCACTATGAGCTCGTTGGCGATGCATACATCCATGGCATCATGCACGGGGAGGCATTCGATAAGAGGAGCTTGACTACAATCAATCTATACTAAGAGCGCGATAAGAGAAGGTTGTCAACGGTTACAACTCAGAATCTCGTGGGCAGCGTCGACTCACTAGAGCATTTTCAACCAGTCGGCAATAGCGTAATACGCATCCATCGGGTCGCAGTTGTTCTTGAAGAGGGTCTTGCCCAAGTTTGCCGTGTCGCAAACACCCCAGACTGTAACACCCACGCAACTTGCAACGTGATAGCAGGCCGCGACAGCTTGGATGTACCCTTGAGGATTGCGGCCTTCGATGTCCAGCTCTGTGATCGCAACTTCAAGAGCGGCTTTAGCCAAAGTCCTGAGCGCAGTCTCCACGGCAGCTGATGCGCCTACACAAGTATTAGCGAAGTTTTGAATAACAAATAGAATGTGGACTTACCGGCTATCAAATGCGTCTGCGAGCCAATGCCATCAATGGGAATGCCCTCGCTCCTCCATTGCTTCACCTTATCGACAAGGCTACCTGGCTGGGACTTGGCCCAAGTTACGTTGTCGAGACCATAGTCATTGATATATAGTTTGGCATCTGAGTCTGCTTTATGGGCGGCACGGAAGGCAATGCCGACGTACTCCTCCCCAAGAACTTGGTAGAACTTGGTGTTCTTTAGACCGACCTTGTCTAGTTCGAAGATCTCGTTCACCACGTCCCAAGACCTGACCCTGCCCTTGAACCTCGAGACAACTCCATACACGTGGTCGTGAATCACTGTCTTCATGGTCTCCTTGTCGTTGATTTTTTGCACCCAATCAGGTACATCTTCACCCCAAACTAGCGTGTGGCCTCTGACACTCTTGCCATTAGCATTAGCCCATGACACAAGCTCATCGGCAGCTTCGGTGGTGAACGTGCCACGGCTGGGCTCTGTGTAGGACCACTTCATCAAGTACTAGTTAGTGGCCTGTCCAAAGTTTTTCTCCATCATGGCACCTATCTTGTCACCTCCTTCGCTGAACTTGTTCTTCTCAGCGGCGGCACCGAAGTAAATTTTGCCAACGCCACTGAACAAGGTGTCGACGCTTCGGTCTGCCTGGCGCTCAGCCAACAAAGGCGAGACCGAGGCAAGGAGCGGAGCGGCGAGGAGGGGAAGGACCTTCATCTTGACGAACGAATCGAAGGTAAAGAGATGAAGGGTAGAATGCGAGGGATACAACGCGAGGGATACAACTGGGAACTGAGTATAGCTTTATCGGTGGTCAAAGAATCGACTACAGATGGTAATCCAACGGTCAAGTACCATAGCGTTGGGCTAGCCCTCATCTCGTCTCCACGTGCTAAAGATATCGGTGGTGGCCGTGCAGTGAGTGTCCGCTGCAAAAATGCAACATCATGCCATCAGGTCGTACATAGCTCGTATTAGCGTGAGGACTCTGGGCGTAATACTTGGAAGGCATGGTCGAATAGAGTCGTGGAGGCATGCAAATTCAGCAACAATGAGTGTGCATTGTATAAAGTGTTGTTGTGTTAACATGATGTGATAATTGGAGAGACCGCCAGAGTGACGAACAAAATTCTAAAACAGGACTTTGTTTCGCTGTAAGGCTTCCCGTGCTAATGAAGCTTTTGAGGCGCCGGCGCGGATCGGGAAGGCTGCGGTTATTGTCATTGGCTCCACTATTCGGGTATTCTTTTGGGAACGGGATAAGCTTCGAGGCTCTTGACGGGATTTGAGGTATACGAAGCTGAGCCTTTCGGCAGGTGCAGATGCTGCATTTGATGGATCGCGCTGTACATGACCAAGTCGACAGGCAAGCCTTCGTGGAGTCAGGTCCAGCGCTAGTCACACAGACTATTCGTTTACTGGTTGTATATTACATGTACATAGGTATTGCTATCCGCAGGCCTGGAGGTAGTCGTATCCATCGGCCCCATTCTACTCGTATATGATGGCCTCAATTCTCGCAGGCGTAGCATGTTTCGAAACCAGCTTTGCAATCTTCTCTCGCCAATTCCTGATCATAGCTATGAGCTTCGACGCCGACGCGGACTTGTTCTACAAGCCAGTGCTCTTCAGTTTTGCCACTGGAGGGTACCTATCTGTACCATAGGTGGAGTTTAGAGTGACTCGACCAGACACACTGCCGTCTTCGAGCCTAATGTACGTTTCAAGTACATTCTCGCCGAGCTTGTCTTCCTCGACGACGATTTGTCGACCTCCGCGCGTCCACTCGGAATAGCCACCGTATCCAGAGTGTCGGTTGAAGCAGAGGTTGAGGCCATTACCGTTCGCTGGAGAGTTGTTGGGCAGATCCTTGGACCACTTCATGCACCAGCTGGGAGGCAGTCATTATTATATTGCACCGAGAGGCAAAGGCAATTGCTTACTCTACACCATGATCATGACCAGAGAAGACGCCCATGAGTCCCTCCGTCTCGACGAGCGCCTCCATAAAAGGCGTGTCGGCGCCGTTGTAGTTGCAGTTGTTGTCGCTGTCGCAAACCTCACCCTGTGGTATGTTAGTCATGCCTTTAGGTTATTAGCTCTGATAGTAACCTGGTGGCCAATCAATTCTTCGTTAAGACCCGGGGCAGTCGCTGGCTCGCGACCCTGATCTTGATAGGCCTGAGTGGAATGAACAGGGATATGCACGAAGGCCAAGCTGGGAATCACTCGGCCTTGTTGCTGACGAACAGCGTCGCGCGTAAGACGGAACCAGGACGTGACCTAGCGGAGGCAGTCAGTCACGAATCGCACAGTGAATAGCGAGCCTGCTGAGGGATTCATATGTCGACGTAGACACCACCCAGAAGATCGTCAGAGCACTAAACTGACCTTGTCGTCTACCCAGCCAGCCACTGGCACGTCTTTGCCGTTAGCATCGACCTTTCCGTAGTCGCGACCGCCCTTGCTGTCGAAGAACCAAAGCATCATGGAGAGCTGCGGGTTTCCACCTCCAGTCGAAGCGTAGACTGGAATATAGTAGTTGCTTGTGCCGACCTGTTCGTATGGACCAGAGACTGAAGAAGTGGTGAGGGACAATCTCTTCCCATTCTTGCCCTTGATATTGCCCCACATGTACTCGGACATGATGCGAGTGCTGCAGGTCTTGGACATGTCGTGATTGCCAAAGGTGGCAGCAAATGGCATGTTGCGATCGACAAGCGGCGCGGTGACTTGGTCGATGAGGGCTGTCACATTCTCCGGCGCGACGAACTCGCAAGACGTGAGGTCACCGTTCAGGACTACGAAATCCGAGTGCTCATTGTCGAGAACCGAGTTCATGACTCCGACGGTCTTCCAGTCGGCGTCGGGTCCCTTGCCTCCCCCAGTCCATGACGCTGGAGTAATCAATACGGTTCGGAGATCAGGTCGTGGATAGCAACTCACGTTCGCCGAAATGCAAGTCGCTGAAGACAGTGATTGAGAACTTCTTGTCGGCCCCAAAGCGGACCCCAGGATAGTCAAACGTGGCTCCTTGGCCGAACTGTAGCAGCGAAGAGGCACCTGCTGTCGAAGATGCAAGCCACAGGAGATGTTCCCGCTTCATGGTGACTGTAAGTGTAAAGCCGATGATAAAGGTAGATACAATTGCAAGACAGCGGGAGGTAGAGAGCGAACGAACGCGGGTGGAGAGGGAAGAACGCGAAGGTTCTGCGTTAAACCCATCGTCGCGCAAGCTCGAAGTGAAAGTGAAGGAAGAGCGGCGCGCGCCCTCAAGGAAGGACATCGTGGTGAACGTGGAGCCACGAGGCAGAGAACAGCAAGTGCGGCAAAGGTATGAATGCACCGATCTTGCCCATCGTAGCTACCCAAATATCTGACAAAACTGTATACTTCCAGGATCATTCGAAGCCAAGTCGAAACGAGTCTGTTGGGTTGAGGAAGAATGTTGAAAGACAAGTCGTTCGTGAGTCGAGTCCAATGCGGCTAATGCGAGCACGTGCCCAGTCTATCGATCATGTGCAGAACCACTGTCTACGAATCCTGATAGATAGTTCTGGGGTTCTTCGCGTGTTTGCGATACTCAGACGTACATCCGTACACGCGGCTGGACTTATGAACCGGGTCGTTGTGAAGGAGTGGCTTGTTGTTGTTCAGGGTTCCAGTAGTCCCGCATCGAGCGCCAAGACCACCCCACAAAAAAGTTCGAGGAGGGAAAGAACGATCGTTCAGCCGTCAGCACTCACCCTACCAACTTCGCACCAACGATGAACGCAGAAGCATATCTGCGCAAGCAAGGATGGCAAGGATCCGGCCACTCCCTCGACGGTGAGGGTCGTGGCATCAAGAAGCCACTCCTCATCGCCCACAAGCAGGATCAGCTCGGCCTCGGCAAGAAGAAGGCGGCCTACACGACAGACGATCAGTGGTGGATGCGCGCTTTCGACGACAGTCTGAAGAATATTGGAAGTGGTCAGGAGGTACGAATCAGCAATCCGATGACCCTTGGCACGACCTGACATACGAGTAGAGCACCCTCAGCCAGATCCAGAAGAAGGGCATCAATCGTGGTGGCTTATATGGTTTCTTCGTGAAGGGAGAATCGATTGCCGGCACACTCGGAGACTCGGAAGATAGCTCGACAGCACCCACCGACGCTTCAGCTGCGCCATCTGGCACCAGCACGCCCGCCACCTCAGCCTCTGATAGCGAGCCAGCCAACAAACCTAAGGACAAGAAGAACAAGCGCAAGCGGGAAGCCGAAAAAGGAGTCAGCGAGAGCAAGAAGTCGAAGAGCAAGAAGGAGAATACATCGACCGACAGAAATGCAAAAAAGCTGGCGAAGAAGATCGCGAAGCTCAGCGTCGACGAGAAGACAACGTACGAGGAGCGCGCAGCAGCTAAGGGCCAGACTCTCGAGATGTATGTTGCACGGCGCATACAGAAGAAGAACGATCAGCGCGCAACTCGATGATCGGTCCTTGCCCGCGTTCACGTCACCGTCATTGCGCTCAACGTGGCCCACTCGTACGGCCATCACGTCAACACCGATTTGAGCGCACGCGATCATGGTACACAGGGACTCCACAGTGCGCACACCAAGCCCCTGAAGACGGACACGAGGATCAACGGACAGAGACGCGAGGAGGTATTCAAGGGCCAGATATTGCATGGGGAAGGAAGTCACGCATGGCCCTACTCGAATCTAGGGACATGGACACACTGCTGCATAACGTATGCCGGCGGATTCCCTCACTCCAATTCCTCCGATTCGTTATGAGCATCTCAAGCCGTATCCTGCTGCATCTGCAAGCGGATGTGGCCAAAGCGCCAGCCGAGGTCCGCCAACAACGGGACGGGGTTCTCAAACACCATGAGTTTTACGTCTACATCGCAGGCTATTAAATCGCGATACTGCATAGCAGTAAGTAGCAGCCCTATCTGGTATTGGCAGCATATGGCAGTGCCCGGTGAACACTTTGTGCCCTCTAGTACACACTTGATAACAAACGAGGCAATCAACTGTAGTCACGAGAAATCGCTCTCGAGCTTACTACCGTCATCGAGTATCTCCTACTCCTTGCGTCTCAAGATTGACGTCTCAAGTTGCCTCAGGTATTGAGTAAGATTTTCAGTATGATCTCCTGGTGGCGCGCATGAGCTTGTGCCCCTTATTCTCGATGTGCCAGCGTCTATAAGCTACGAGTACAAAGTACAGCTGCCTGAAGGCAAATATCAAACAGGCCTGACGAATACAATCATTCACTTCTTACTACCTCATTTCTGATCACTGTATCATTGTACCTCCCACTGCTGGTCCAGAAAGATCCTCATAATCACCACTATGAAGCTTTTCACATCGCTCTTGTTCGCAACCTCCGCATCAGCGGCAGCAATTACAAGTCGACAAAACGGCAATGGTGCTCTTCAAAGAGGTAGACAAACACTAGTGTTGAAGGAAGTTGGTGGCGTCGCTGGCAACGAGTGCTTGACATTTCGCAACAATGGTGCGCACCTGTTCTTGTCGACCCCCTCCTCTGACCTCGACTGACTTGGCATTGCAGGCGAGATTGTGGACGCAGCATGCGTGAACACAGCCGCAGATCGCCAACTTACACCTTCCACCCTCACCGGTGCCGATGTCCTGGCAGTGCAACGATCGTTCTCGAACGGCTTCCGCCCTGATCTGGTAAATACACAGGCGTGTGTTGGTTTCAACGGCACACACTTCAAGGCGCTTGACTGCGCAGACAACAACCTGGATCCTGTCAGTTTCCAGAACGGTCAGCTTGTCAGCGCGAGTGGGGCGTGCCAGAGTGGGCACGATAATGCTGCGCAGATTACGGTCGATCCGAGCGGACAAAGCTGCGCGCAGTTGACGAGTATGACGGTACAACCAACAGCGCCATGAAACAGGAGCACGAAGAACAAAGGTGCATGAAAGAGACGAACATCATGTGTGGCGCCTATGGATCGGTGCTTCTGCTCCTGTGTCTTTGTTTTTTTATCGACCCACTAACCATTAACAGCCACAACAAAGCGCGATGAAGCGCTGTTAAATCGTCTCGAGCGGTGGCACTGTAGCAGTAATCCACGAACTACACATTCTGCACTTCTCACTTCTCGAGTCACTGACCGACTTCATCTCGTACTATGCCTCATCACAGAAGCTTACCCTTCTCTCGTCGCCACGAGTTTCCCCAAGACCCACCGCCCTTGCCTCTGTCAACGCTATACTGTGACGCTGAGCAGCACAACCTCGACATGCAAGCTGAGAACGACAACCTGGTCTCGTACATAGAGACTTCAAAAGACTTCACCTGCGGCTTGACAATCCTACTTAGTATCTTTGCGATTCCTGCGGGGATCTTCCTGGCAAGATACCTAATCTATGAAGCCATGCTGCCCCTGCGTCTCGATCTGCTCAAGTGTCAGTCCGATTGCGCGTTGGCGATGGATACGCAAATACTACCTCGGTGTGGACACAACGATTATCCGTCAGCTAATCCTGAGGCCTTCAGTCCAAGCTGACTTCGAGCTAGGAAATTATTTGTGCGGCAATCTTTTGGGTTGATGGTACGAAGAGCCCATCAATATAATGAAGCATGGTTCGGTACCGAAACCAGGGCAAACCATGCGAGCTCTGCGCCTCTCCCCACAGCACGGTGTCCTTGTGTTGAATCGATTTGCAAAACGGCGCTTCATGGGTATCGAATATGTCTGGCAAACAGACTCGACGGCATTGCTTGTCGATGGCAGGCTGCTTGTCCGCATTCGACAGTTCCGGCCAATTGCGCACCTATATCACCACGATCCAACTTGGCTCGAGGGCGTGTGCCGAATTCATCTGCCCACATACACGAGAGAGGTTTCTGTACTAACAACATCTCACGAACAAGATGGTGAAGGCATGCAGAGTACTATGCGACGACACCAAACGACAAGGCTTCGTGCACAAAGGACACTAGTGCAAACGGTGTCCAACCGAATACAGGACCAAGATCATCGAACGAGACTCCTCTGAACGTCGAGAAATCTACGAGAAATATAGGAGAAACATCTACCATTACGTGATGTGTGTCTCGCTACGTTGACTGCGATCGGTGTGATTCGCCTGACGAGCTCGAATGGAAGTCACTATCATCGTGGCCTAGGGAGCGTCCTGAGGGTGAGTGGGGCCCAATGACAAAGAAAGATCACACAATACCCACGATCGACTTGACGTACATGGAGATTATATCCGCACGCTTCAAGAGGGGGCTGACTGAACCAGCTCTTCTAGCATACCAGAATGAATTGGACTGATATCGAGACGAACGTTGTCTCACTTCAAACGGATTGTAGGGCTGTTCCTCGGCGTAGGGGACAAGTCCAATAAACATCTGCAATGTGTGTTACGTTGTCGTACGCTGACAAGTATCCTCTGGGATTGCAAACGTATCGTCAATCTCCTGGCTGTGCACAATAGACATCGGTGCGTCGGCGCTGCTGCCTGGAATCTACGAAGAAGTATCGGGGTCGGATCAGAGAGTCCATGTATGCATATGCAGCATGGAGGCACAGCAAAGCTTGATATCAAGTCAGAAGCTTGTTCGAGCTGATGATGCTCAGATCCGAGCGATTAAATCTTGTGGTCGAGTCACCCGGTCTGGCCTCCGAGTGAGCTAGCCTCATGTCCGCGCAAGACAACCTGTTTTGTTGCCGCTTTTGATGTTTCATGGACAGTTAGAAAGAACCATTTCCTGTTGTTCTTCATGCAACCACGATGGTCAGGTCCTTCCGATTCTGGCCGCTTACGATGACGTCAAGTGTTGTGATTGGTTATGGCGCGCCACGAAATAGACAACAAGATGTTGAGGGCGTCGGGGACTCGGGTCGAGAACATCGTGTACGGACTCTCGGAGGTTGTCAATTCAGTGGAATAATGAAAGCCTGGATCAGATAAGTAAGTGTCGCAGCCACTGTGAACGTCAGAAAGGGCGCCTCTACATCAAAGGCCTGTGATCAGAACCTTCAATACCATCATGTCACAACAACCTTTAAACATCCTCATCTCAGGCGCAGGAGTAGCAGGTGCTTCATTAGCACTCACACTCGCCCGTCAACCAGGCTTCAAGATGCAGCCCAACATCACGCTCATCGAGAAGTCTCCCGTACCACGCACGACAGGACAAGCCGTCGATATACGTGGTCCAGGCGTAGACGTCATCCGCAACCTTGGATTGGAGCCTGAGATCAAGGCCAGACATACGACAGAGACTGGCGTTGCCATTCTGAATTCCAAAGGGGACGTTGCTGCGACATTCACTGCGACTGGTGACGCCAAGAACCAAAGTGCAACCAGCGAGTACGAGATCTTACGAGGTGATTTGGCGGGCCTCCTGCTTGATGGTGTCAGCGAAGCGAAAGAGAGGAACGTGAAGGTGGACGTGGTGTATGGCGAGTACATCGACCATATCGAAGAGCGGAAAGATGGTTCTGGGGTAGATGTCTACTTCGCCAACGGAAAGATTAGCGACCAAAAGTTTGACGTCGTGGTTGGTGCGGATGGCATTGCGTCGAAAACGCGCAGCCTGATGTTCGGCAAAGAAGACCTCCGCGAGTACGTGAAACCGTCGGGCATGTACCTTGGATTCTTCTCAATTCCACGCCTCCCTGAAGATGACTCGCTTTGGAAATTGTGCCAGGTGCCACCGGGCCTCGGCATGCATCTCAGACCTCATTGCAACAAGAAGACCATGGGCGTCTACCTCACTGTTTGTAACTCTACACCGTCGCGTAATCCTGAGCTCGAGGATATTGTGCATGCTGATGTTGCTACACAAAAGACGTACCTCCGACAGCGATTCCAGAATGTGGGCTGGCAGAGTCAACGCTTCCTCGAGGGTCTTGACGCGACTGAAGACTTCTACATGACGCACTGGTGTCGAGTTGTGACGCCGCAATGGGTCAAGGGTCATGGTGTCATCTTGGGCGATGCCGCCTTCGCAACGATGGGTATCGGCACAAGTCTGGCGATGACTGGAGCGTACTGTATCGCTGGTGAGCTGTCAAAGATTGAGTCCGCCGATCAGGTACCAGAAGCACTACGGAAGTACGAGGACCTCTTTCGACCTTGGGTGGAGAAGCACCAGTATGTATTGCCTGGCGCCATGCAGCTCATGAACCCGCAGACAGTGTGGGGTATTTGGGTGTTTCAGACCATCCTCAAAGTGGTGGCCTTTTTGAGAGTGCCACGGCTGCTCATGTACTTCTTCGGTGGTGAAGGGAAAGAGAGCTGGAAATTGCCTGAGTATGGCTGGTGATGGGTGTAGCTGCAGAAACTGGTTTTTTCTCAACATTTTCATTTCCGGTGGGGGGCCAAATCTTCCAATGCTCTCAACTCTAATATATCAACCATGAAAACCAAGACAAGATTATTTCCCGTCTATTTCGATAAAACTCAAGCTCCAGTCTTCTTGGCCAGAAGCCAGACAAAGTTTGCATCTCCCTCAACCTGTTTCGTCTCTCGAACGAGAATCTCTAACCCCGCGTCCTCAAGCATCTTGACACTGCCTTCTTCGCCAAACGCACTCCAATACATCCAACCCTTGTCTTCGCCTAGCCATTGCTCCTCGACATGCCCATCCGAGTCATCTACTGCAAAGTTGGCCAACAGCAAGCCATCCGGCTTTAGCCAGCTCCCTATATTCCGGACGAGTTGGGTCTGCTCTTCGCGAGGCAGATGGATGATGCTGTAGAAGCCTGTAACAGCGTCGAGGGTCTGTTCAGGGAAAGACAGAGCCATCATGTCCCCTTCAACGAGCGTGAGGTGGTCATCGTACTCAGCCAGGTTCTTGCGAGCGAGGTCCAGCTGAGACGTTGACAGGTCGTTGCCCGTGACGTGTATCACAGGTCTTTCGACTTCGAGGAGGTGCTTGGTAGCGGGAACACCGGCGCCGCAGCCCAGCTCAAGAACTGAAGCTGAGTAATCGTTGTTCGCCTTGAGCCGAGACAGTAGAAGGTTTAGATAGTGAAGTCTAACGGGATCGTCGGGTTTTGTGAAGTTGGCATTGTAAGTGTCCGCTATGGCATCGTAAGAGCTCTTAAGCCGAGCTTTCACGTTGTCGGGTACTGTGAAGCCTTTAGTGGAAATAACAAAGTATCGTTACAATCTCATACCATGTTCTGCCATGATGAAGTTATTGAAGCTGTTACTATTCAAGCGCTTGTTAATATATTCACATGTACACCCAATTGAGTTAGTTCTTTCCTATGTGCGGCAAGGGCGTGGCGGCGCCCTTACCCCGCCGTCAGCCTGGAGTCATTCATCAACGATCAGTCATGCAACCTCCACCAATTCAGGGGTCTGCGATCCCTGATCGCAACCTTTCATTATTGCAACTCAAAAAGTCAAATGCGCTGCCCGGTCATTCTCATCGTGATATGGTCCCCTATCGCGAACCCCCCCCCCCCCCTAGGGCGAATGAGGAACGTGGAGTAGCTGTATACGACACTAACAAAACGATTCATTGAACTAGATCTAAGGCCTTTACAATTAGGCACAATGCAGGTAAATGCAAGAAGGGACCCGTGGTTCGCAAGCGAACTTGATTCAACTTAGGCTACAACTGAAGTGCTAGCTTCGACCATGGATCGGCGCCCTTTGCATCTCATCCTGATGGGTTGATGGCATCTATACCTGCTTCGCGGTAAAAGTGCCGATCTTCGTCTCCTGAACCTTGTTAACCACTGTTCTATTTTCCTTCCGCTGTCTTCTCTTCTCCAGCTTTACCTCCATAGCGGCTTTGATTCCGGAGCAACACGACATCGACGAGAACAGCGCACTACCCAACCACAGTAGTGCGTTGACGAGGTTGCACCAGCCAGCAATTCTCATACGCCTAGGGTCTACGACTGCATAGTCTGCCGGAATTTCGCCGTTCAGATACACGCCATAGAAGACGCTAAAGCAGGCGATCCACAAAATAGCCAATGTCCATTCGATAGCCCAGATGAACCGGTAGGATCGTAGTGTTACGCTGTCGATGATCAGAGTCAAAAGAGTGAGACCGAAGACGACTTCTGCATAGATGAAATTGGTGGTTGAGGCAGAGTATCGGTGGTCGAGTTCGATGGCGTAAGAGACACCCGAAGCAAGGGCGAACGCGACTTGTAAGAGCCAGACGGTCGGTCGTAAGAGCGAGACAACGGGGCCGTCAAGCCTAGCGTTGATGGCGGCTTTGAACAAGCTTAGGCTGATGAAGTGTGTTTGGGGATAGGGTGGAGGTAACATCGAAGATTTCGAAAAAGATGAAGCAGAATCAGCACTGCCGTAATATAATCCAGCTATGCTTTCTTCATCCATTTTTCTGAACTTCTTGGCTTCGCTCATTTTGATGAATTTCTCGGCTCTACCCACGATGATCTCCTCGGGGAACTTCCTTAGATCTGAGATGAATCGAGATGAGAAACGATAGGGTGAAGTTAAGAGAACCAAGTGAAGAGGAGACTTTACAGAAAATATATACGGACTATCTAAATGGTCTGACGCGGATTTTTCGGGTTTATTAAACTTAACGCGCGGGCTACAGAAAAAAATAAGTGTGTATACGGGATAGCTTCGAGCCGTTGTAGTGCACTGTGTGTTGATCGTTCCTCCAATACATTATTATATACCTGTTCAGGTCTAGCTAAGTCCTTACGAGTAAATACGAGCCCCTTGGTGTACCCTGCCAGGCTCGTCAAGGCTTGTAGATGAACCAAAAATAGAAAGAAGATACGTCATGATGCACAAACTCGTAAACACAAGCTTATAAAGCGCATACGGGCCATTGAAGGTGCTTCAGCATACGAAGAGTAGTGGGATGCATACGCCATTAGTTTGGAATACGGCTTTAGCATGGAGAGCCATAGTAGTGTGCCGGGCGTAATGCTGTCGAAGTAAGCTGTGGTGGTCGCTTCCTGCACCACTTGACTTGTTCAATGGAATTTGAAATACTTGAAGGATGTGTGTAGCAGCCAGAAACCGTACAAAGGGCACTTTCGTGAAAAGTAGCCGTACGGGCTGTCCATCGCCTTATGGTTACGATAGCTTCTGTGATTGTGAACGTTGCATGGCCAACGTGGCGCAACGTAGTTGTTGAAACCGGGGAAGCTGATAAGTCGGGGAACACCATATAGGGAATCGGTGTGTTCCGCATCGGATCCGGTCGCAATGATGCTTGCAATATCTTCCGAAAGCCGCATATATCAGGCATCAGAGTGGGGCAGCTCTGCCCTGATTGGGTGTTTGGGCGTCCATCCTCGACAATCACTGCTGCTACGCATAGTAAGCGTTTTACGCAAGCTTTAGTGAATTTATGTACATGTTATGAAATACCGGCCTCAAATTATATATCCGATAATGCGACTGTTAAGGAGACTTAGATTGTCACCCTATTAAGTGCTTCTAGTAGTATGCGTAGTAAAAAAATGTACCCGCTAACAGCAGCTCGGTTATAGGTACAGGCAGATGGAGTACTAACAAGCTAAAAGCCACTTATTAAAAGAGTCAGTACTATTAGCGCGACGCACACACCTCTTAGTACATCTGATATGATGGGTTTAGCAAGACGCTAAGGTGCGAGCGCGATGGCGATAGAGGTAGTTGGACAGAGTTTAATGAGTTAGCAGAGGCAACGAACGAGGTAATCTCTGTGAGTGCGTTTAGTATAAGGATAATGAGAAACCTGAAAGCGCTCATCACCGGAGCTCAATGCTTGCGTCTTCAAATTGCTTAGCTACTATGTCCGTCGACTCGGTTCGAGATACTAGCACCCATGAGCAGTCAATAAGCCTCAATTTAGGTAACAAGTCACTCTTCTTTTTACAAATGTCAAGCAAAAGCTGCTCTATCGCAGTAGTCCACTTGCTCCTGAATACCAATATTTCTAACGACCCTGGAAGGTGCTCAGGAAGAGGCAATTGAATGTTGTCTCCATTGTTGTGTCCCCATAGCACAACATCGCATACCTCTAGATACTTCAAAACAGAAAAGCAAACAAGCGAACCAATTCCGAGTATTGTTTGGTTTGAAAGCGTCTTCTGACCTGCGTTGTGTGTGTCGAGAGTGAGATACTCGAGCGTGTCTCTGCTCATCGACAGTGTCGATTTTAGTAAGGACAGGTCGATCGTCTGCGGAAACAAGCAGTCAACATCTTGGAGGCAAACACCCCAGCGACAGGTAAAACGTTCAAGTGAAGTGTATTTCGAAAGCAAGTCGTGCAGATGAGCTGGTGAAATTTCGCATGCGTCGAAAGTCAGATCAATCAACCCATGCGCGTCTGGTCCCCAGAACCAAGCATTAGGAATCGGATCGTACATTGCGGGAATAAGGTAAGAATAAGCATTGATCAACGTCAGATGCTCTGAAACAGGAAACGCTACTCGAATAGCTTGACTGACAACGGAGGTCACTTTAAGCGGTACTCCTGAGTAAGGGTTGCGGACCGACGCCCTTTGCTCGAGCCAGAGTCTTCGCAAGCCATGGATGTTCTGGTAAGCTCTAGACGCTAGTGTAGTAGTGTAGAGGATATGTAGGTCGAAAATGGCGACTTCACTGAGATTCGGAGTAATGGCCATAATGAAGGCAACGTAGGCCTCCGGCTCTCGGCCAACCCATGCCCTGCCGAAAGCATATTCATAATGAAACCACTCGAGAGGCTTGGCGTGTTTGAGAGTAGGTTGCCATTGGATTGTTGAGAAGTGATATTGAAAGTCTTGCCATTGATCATGAGTAGCTTGATCAAATGGAGCTGCCTCCATCGTAGGAACAGAGATAGATCTTGGGTTTATGCATTGTAGATCGATTTTGGTATATGCAGTCTCCACATATCGAATATACTTGGTCAAATCGGGTTGGTCCACCAGTGTACGTACGAGCAAGCGGGCCGACTTGGTATCTCCTGGCGTCTGGATGAATGATCGATAGAGAATTGGTTGGAAAAGGCTATAGAACTTCCGACAAGTTGAAGTCAACGAACGTAGAGTCCGTTTTCTTTCTGCATTTTCAGATCTTCGGGTTGCCTCGGCTACAATGGAAGCGTATAAACCGGGAATTGGGGTAAAGGAATGGGATATTTGCAAAAGTATGTCGTTTGGAAATAATTCTAAACGCAACGTATCGGAGTGATCTGTTGGACCCATTGTAGTCGTGGATATGCGCGGAGATGATCCTAGTAGCACTAGAGAGACCTAAGTAACTACGAAAGTGAATTGGCAATGTAGAACTTGAGTTTCGCAGGCGCGTTGTTGTCGTCCTGAAGAGATTGAAGTGATACGAGTTGGAAGTCAAAACTGGTCTGACATCAGGTTGTGTCTTGAACGCACACTACTTGAAGCACTCAAAGGAATTTAAGTACGCTCAGCGCGAGCGATTTGGAAGCTGTATCACACACGAGTGATTACTGCGCGCCGGCTAAGCTAAGATGAAATGATTCATGACATCGTCGATTCGTTGCTGTTGTCCAATAAGAGCTATTGAGATCTGTGTTGGAATAACCGCTACTACACGCCCGTTTCGTACACTCGCTGAACAGGGGTTCCCATGCGCATCATGTGATGACACGCGCGAATAGGCTGTATGAAAGCACTTGCGAACGGTTCGGCGCGCTTACTTAAATTGCCCTAGGCTCGGCCGTACACCGTATCTGTGCGCGTGCCGTCCGTGTTCGCGTGCTGCCCCAACTCCCTCAACCCAAAATGAAGCTGCAGAGCCACACACAATGGCTGTTATCACAGGATCTCTAAGTGGAGCCCTATGATAATGCTTGCAATCAAATTGTCTCATAATTAATGTTGCGGCTGCTTGAGTACTTGTTAGGTGGAGGAATTGGGGACCGCGGTGCGGCCAAGGAACTACCCACAGCAGCCCCATCACTACGCGTATGCTGCTAAGCTTTGATAGAGCTTTTAAAGGCCTTTCTTTTGCCTGTTAGCTGCTCTTGTATAGGGTTTTCGAGTTACAATTATGCTTTTGACGCTCCCTTTAGTTGAAATAAATTGCAGATAAGGGTAGCTACCCGTGATACAATTGGAACCGAGGTGCAGCAGTAGAGGCCTCACAGAGGCAGCGTGAGTTGATTGATTTATCCTATCTACATTGAAACTGAGGCTCTTGCTCGGCTAGCGTGGGCCTTGAAAGCTCTTGGTCAATAGGAGCTTGCCAGGTCTTGTGTCACGGGTGTTGAAGCTCAAATGACCCTCTGCTTACGTATGATTTCTTGGATAACTGGGCTGGAGTATCGAAGCTGACACAAATATACATACAACACATGGTGTTACCACAGAACCCATGTAGTAACTTGTTAATCTATAGACCTGATCATTCCGCCCTGCAATGCTGGAGACACTCTATCCCAATGGAGAGAAACTGCCGCGTTGAAGGTACTTGAGGCAGATCTTGGTGCATAGCCTCCACGCTTGATCTGAGTACGTTCCTCGTGCTGGCCATGGAATCTCTGAAGTGTTGATGCCCGCAATGGCAAGGCATAGTCAAGAATGATGAGTCTTCCAACTCAGATTAGAGCTGAGATACAGGGGGTGCAGTTGTACTCTGTGCGGAACGCCACTTTGTAAAGATGGATTCTCAACACACATTACTACCTGGCGAGTATACCACGAATCGACAAGACCGGTCTCTGCAGGCAATCGCTGCGTGCGGCTGGTACCTGTGTGTGGAGCGGAGTGGGTGGAGTGGACATAGCGTTGGTGTCGCAGGGAGTGAAGATATCCACCGATCGCCATCTGTTTGCTAGCGGTCCGCTGCACTGATTGTCCAGCTCATTCGGTTAGCTCGGTTTTCTTCCCCAACCCTTCACTGCTATCCCCTTCTACTATATAGTCCCGATCGATTCCAGCCAATAGCTAAAAGAATCAATCAACATCTCAACCCTTCCACAGTTGGCCCGCGCGACCCCGTCATTGAGTCTGTCCTCGATGACAGTGTTTACCTCTCACCCGACATCACAATAAGCGCCTCCTCTCAGGTCCTGACGCTCACGTCCACCTTTTTGTGCAGCATTGTTTTAACTATTACTTGCCATATCTCATCGGAAGCACACTTGACTACCGTGCTACCATGGCGAGTCTGTCGCTCGACTACAAACAGCTGTATCTTGAGGAATTGCGCAGGCACGAAGAAGTCAAGGCGACAATCCGCCATACAAACCTGCCCGAGTTTCTCGACGCGTGACACAACCACCTGTATGCAGGTCTGACCGTCTAGACGGATGCAACATTGTCGACGCAAGGCGACCCTGCAGATGCGAACAACAAGCTCTAACCAGAAAGACTCCGCGTTTGGGATGATTTCCCTGTGCGTCAAGAAGCGATCTGGAAGGACATCATGAGGTCGAGCTTCGCCCTGGAATGGCACTTCACCTCCTTGCATTATTTGGGAGTCTCCGAGGCGAAGGTCAAACGACGAACGATGAGCTCTGAGCTGGACCTGCACTTCTTCCAGCGGTCGACAGTTGAGCAGCCGGTGTCGGAGATCGTCCAGCAGATGTACGACGACCGAGCGCTGAAGCGCAAGTTCGGCCTGCGCGGTTCTGTAAACTTCGAGAACCACGCCAACACATTAAGCCCGGAGCAAGAAGTGGAAGAGGGCTTGCGGAATCTGTCGATATCTGGCGGTCACCAATGACGTTCAGCACGCTTGCAGGCAAAGGCCGAGGTATTGTCCTCATCAACGCTCTCAGCTGCTGCCTGCAATAGCACGTCACGAGCTTCTCGCCCCCGGGCCGACCAATTCTGCGTCTACAAAATGAGTGAAGAGAGTCGTATAGCGGCCTTCGTCATCGAGTACAAGGCGCCACACAAGATTCCACTCGGCTACATCTACGAAGGGCTGAATGACATGGACCTTGATGACGTTGTCGAATGCCGCGAAGCCGAGGGCCTGCAGCACCGCTTCCGCCGACTGATAGCTGCAATCGTCACGTAAGCATTCTCCTACATGGTCAAGGTCGGCGTGAAATAAGGATGCGTGTGTACTGGCGAAGCGAGCATCTTCCTGCGCGTTCCGCACGATCCCACGACTGTCTGCTTCTTCTTGTCTGTGCCCAAGGGCGAAGTTGGCGATATCAGCGGATGGACGCCAGATGCAGACGGTCCAAATCGACTTCATCTGACCGCCGTCGGGCAAATGCTGGCCTTTACGCTGCAGGCTTTGATAACGCCGCCTCGAAGCTAGAAGTGGCGAGAGGAGGCCTCAGCTCGACTGAAGACCTGGGAGGTCTTGTACGATGTGCTGCAAGAGGACATTCCATCGCATGAGGCACCGTTGTCAGAGTATTGGCCGCCTCGAGACAAGGGATTTCTTCGATGTAGGCTGATGTAAGTCAACCGTCGTCAGAAGCTACACTGCGGGCACCAAGCTTTCCGCCGCACAAGAGTGACGCGTTGTTAACTGACATGATTGTACGAACACATGAGCCTTTTCAAGACGATACAGTCTCACGAGGTGATACATCAGCTGTTTGCGAGAATGAGCAATCACGGAAGCGGAAGCGTGATGGTGAGGGAAGCATGAGTCCAATACAGAAAAAAATCAATGCTTTACGGGCAGACCTTGCAGCCCTAGAGCACGAGAACCATCGTAAAAGGGGTTCACTAGCATCATTCAGCAATTGCGCTGATATTTTCTGCTTTCTAGAAGACTATAGTGATTTTATATGCAAGTAGCATCATAATGCAGTTATAAGTCTTGATAAGCATATGTCGCAGTATCACAACGTGCCTGCCCCGACCTGGAGACAGGTGGTTGACTGTTTCTGTCGGGGATCGTGAGTGATCCGTATGCATGTGGAAGAATTGCAGGATTGAACTGAGGTTGCATTGGGTGAAGCTACGGACAGTATGTATATGTGAGTAGCTGTAAACAACGCTAGTATGATGTGGCAGTCACTCTCATGGCAGGTGAGGTTCGAAAGGCAAGAGCACCCTGAACCGTGACAGTTTCAGTCGCCTTAAACCGGTGGACCCAGGCGAGATCAAGCTACCAGAAGAGCCTGCGCAGGCGATAGAAGAGCTCGGAAAACCACTTGCTGGGCTACGGTGCAAAACATGTGGGTTTATTACTATTAACAAAGATCGAATTCGCATGCACTGTAAAAAGTATCATCAGCTTGCTTGGGTAGGCGACAAAAGCCAGTTGTATAGTATGTTCAAGGTGCAGAGCTTTTCCCGCACAGGCGGATTGCAGAAATACTTTAGGGTTATCTAGTTTAAGGCAGGAGATTTATGTAAAGGATAGTAGCGAATTTGGTGGTAGTATAAGGTTGCTCTACAATAACGTAAAAGTACAAAGCTCCTTCCAACAGTGTGCAGTGCAAGACATGCAGCTTCATCACAATCAACAAAGACACAGTACGCATGCACTGCAAAAAAAATCACCAGCATGCTTGGGTAGGAGAGAAAAGCTCGCCCTATGATACTGTCAATGTACAGAGTTTCTTTCGCAAGGGGGACTGCAAAAATATTTTATTGTTGATTTGGCAGATGTCAAAAATCCCGAAAACGCCAGGGTAGGAGATTGGGTCCAGGCACAGCTGGCCGAGTACAAATTGACACAACAAGAAGTCGAAGAAAAGCTACAAACACTAGAAGAGGCTGCAAAAACCGACAAGACAGGCTGGTTCAAGCGGACAGGCTGGTTGGACTTCTTCAATGGCCGGAATCTTGTTCATCTGGCTCATCAAACCCGCACACCCGATCATGGCGAAGACAAGATCGAACTCGCTGCCGAGCTGATAGAGCGACTGGTTGAGAGAAGCGTGAAAGAGCTGGCTACACTTCCACAAGAGACAAGGCGCTGGCTGCAGAGTGCAAAACAGAGCGAGATCGACTCCCGGCCGATAGGGCGACTGCAGAACCCGGAGAGTTAGGCAGTATACGCAAGGTACATGATGAAGTTTGTCTGCTTCTATCTATGTGTGCTGGCCGACAAAGAGCAGCAGGTTACTTGGTTCAGACAGCAGCAAGCCGCAGTCGCCGGATCAGAGAGTCAGGAGGCGACGAGCGGCGAGGAGGACAGCGAAGACGACGAAGAGGGTAGTGAAGCTGACAGCGACGCCCCGCAGCCCCGACGCAGGTCTCGCAGGCATTCGCCGCTGGATCAGATGGAAGCCGTGCGTGAGCTATTTGCGTGGACAGAAGATCAGAAGTCGTGTGCAATATGAATGGGCAAATGGGGGTAAGGGTTAGGAAAAAAGTTGTTGACATTGTTGGCTGATATTGTAGACCAAGTCTCAGGGATCCCAAATCTGCCCTTCATTTGTTGTGAAGTGCTATGGTTGTGGAGTTA